CCTAGCAGCCAAAAAAGAACCTCATAGAAAACAGAGCAATGTTGTAACAAATTCAATAAAGACTTTTAAAATGGTCCATATCAAAAATCTTTTCAAAAAAGAGTCTAATTTTACTGTCTTCATCGACTTGTCTTATACTGATGCCATAAGCTACTCTTCACATTCTCCCTTAAAGAAAGCCCACAGTTAACCTAGTTGTGCCTTTTAGCTGCCGTCTCTGCCTACTTTTTTTCATTTAGTAAGAATGCCTAGAATCGTTCTATCTTTACTACTCCTCTGCATTTCTCTGCTTAGCTCCACCCTCTGGGTCTTTGGACCATTCCAGTACAATTGGCTGCTTCAAGTCAAATATGATGATTATTGGTTTTTATCTTTTTCTCAATCCTGAAATGATTTAAATGTCTTTAATGATCATCCTTGACAGATCTTCCAGGCTCAAGACTGCTTTTTCTTGCTTTCTCCCATTCTCCTTTTATAACTAACTGTCTGCTCTTGACCTGGGCAGCTTCTTTAGGAACCTGGATCCTCCTTCCTGCCTGAGGGCTGACCTGTGAGACAATAAACGTGTTTATGATTCCCTCACCATGTGTGTTCATCACTTTTTCTCTCAACATAAGAGAGAATTTCTTACGAAATTCTTAAGAAGTAAGAATTTCTCTTAAAATTTCTCTTAAATAAGAATTATTTAATTCTCATATTTATTTGACTTGGTTACATATGCACCTATACCCATTATTTTAGTACAGATCTGTTTCACCTGCATTAAATTTATAAAGTAAGCTGGGTCTTAAATCACTCCTATTAAAGTGAGTCTCACACAAAGCATTATGTACGTTTAGTGATGTGGCTATTTTCCTGTGATGAAAATTAATAAATGGCACCCTTTTCTGAGGAAGACACAGCAGAAACCTTATTCTGATTCCTAAGGAAATAAGAACTCCCATGTCAGCCAGGAACCTACTCTGAATGTCATCTTCCTGAGATGTGAGTTTCCACTGCCCTCTTCTAATTTCCCACGCTTCTTCATATCTCTCTTTTTCTGTTTATCATTATTTCCCTCCTATCTCAGTTTTCTACTTGCCTATGTGAAGTGGTACACTCATCTAGTAAGAATGTATGAGGGTCAACTGTGAGCAAAGCAAAATAGTGGCCCAGGATAAGAGAATACCAACAGCTATGACGCAGTCCTGCACTTTACCCCTGCCTGCCCCTTCCGAACTTATAATGTTGTTGAGAGATAAAGCATGTGTACAAAAGCTGAGAAGAATGCTGTTCTCACAGGAGCAGCACAGACAAGTTTGCTTCAGAGTTTGGAGAAAGGGAAGATCACTATGGACTCTATTGGCAACAAGGTGGACAAAGTTGCATAGAAAGTGAGACTTGAATCTTACCAAAAGGGTAGGACTTAGCTTAGCTGCAGGGATAAGGAAGGGCATTTGGTCTGGGTAGAATCCTGAAGATGAGGATGAAGAGAGAATGTAGGGCCAGATGGTTGGGTGGCTGAAACTCAGGGCAGGGGGAAACTGAATTTTAACCTATAGGCCTAGTGTTTCAAGAAGCAGCTTGAAGTTGTATCTGTTTTCTATTTTAATTAGAATTGCAGTTCTCTTTTAAAGTATATTTCAAAAAAATTTTTTTAAATAAAATATATTTCAACGTCATTGATGTAGGTAATGAAGAGTTATTGGAGTTTTTGAATAACAAAGGCATGTGATAAAAGCAGACTCTTAACACAGTTTATCTACTATCACCATGTAGAAGGATTTGAAGACAGTGGAAATGGAGGGAAGGAGATCAGCAGTGTAGAGACCGTGATTGCCATGGTCCAGGTTCAAGGCAGTCAGTGATGTCTGGCCTGGGCTGAAGAAAGAATGTAGAAGCGTAGATAATAACTGTCTTAGATCCAATCCCCCAGATGCAAACTCTGAGAGCAGGAGTCAAGTGATAGCAGTTTACAACAGGAGTGCTTCCAAAAGAAAATAGGGAGGGATTTGGAGGAGCAAAACAGAGCAGCCAGGGAGGGCAAGCAAGCATGTGGCTTCAGGTGAAGCTGAGGCCTCAGCTGCATCTGGAAGGGGCTCCAGGTTAAGTCAAGGGACCCATCCTGCCTTGCCCGCACTCAGGCCTTGCCTATGGAGCAGGTCAAGGGATGAGGAGGGAGAAAACTCCAGACACTGCTGGCTCTTGGAACCTTTGGGGCAAAGCAGCTCTAGCAGTCCAAGGACAGTCATCTGATGAAAGTCTCGGGTTCAGCTGTGAGAAGCAAAGCGTACACAAAGGGTGAGGGAATGAGCCGTTACGAGTTCTCTTATATCCCAACATTTACAAAAGAATGAGCTTATAAAAGTGAGATATATGTTAAGTAGACAGAGATCCATAGATAGATATGATAGATATAAGACATAAAACATTGATATATGACTTACCAAGATGTTATATTTTCCCAATTTTCCCCAATAATCCAATAGTTCATAGGATGTTCTCTAAGATATGAAAAGTATGTTGTAAATGTAAAATGTTACATCATAAAGCAGCTTTATTTAGTTGGCATGACTTCCTTCTCTTCTCACGTGAACTCCTCCCCATGTGTAAAGGAGATGCTGTCTTTTTCTGAGAAGTTAGCACCTTATCACCAGAATTTGACTGAAGGGAGCACACTCACTATTAAAAAGCACTAGTATGGTTGGGCAGTGCTGTGTGCAACCTCATTTGAGATTCATAAGCAAAACTTTAAAGAGAAACCAGTCTACGAGGTATGTGGTTTTTGTCTAACAGCGTTCAGTGTCACAGGATCACTCACAGAGAAGGAGATATTTGGGCTTAACCACAGTTGGAAGTTAGCCAAATTAGTTAATGCAGGGGCAAAAAGGTTAAAGGAGATAAATGTTTGCAAGTATATGATTATGGTGATGGATCATGGAATCTAGGTTGGATACAAAGATAAAAAGTAACATATATGAATTAATTGGAAGTCTTAATGTGGTCAAGGAATTGATGAATTAGATATACTAGGTAAATGAGCCAAAGTTAATGGTCAGAGAGAAGAACACTTGACATTGAGATTGAGGTGCTGCAGTTTTTCCAGATGACAAGGTCAAGGAGAAGACCTTGGAAGCAGATGACATAGGTGAGCTAGAGCAAAAGATTACTAAAGGCAAGAAAGTCAAAGAAATAAGAGACTAGGGTGTTTGATAGAGTCATCCAAGTAGTAAAATATCTAAGAATAATAACAGGGGTGACAGTTTTCCAAGTTGTTTAGTCTCCTGCTTAATCAATCGAAACAAAGAGAAATAAAAACAAAACCAACTCTGAAAGACGCCCTGAATGGATGAGCAATTAACTTCTACAGCAACACAGAACTGCCCAACGGAATCCTAGTACTTTTCAATAACTTCTGTTCACCATGGGACCATAAATTAGGCACAATGATTATATCTAAATAGCAAAATAATTGTACATTTATTTACACTGAGCATTTATACACACAAAGACAATGGCAAACCTACATTGTTTCTCTTAATAATTGTTCAGTATCTCCCTGGATTCCTGGTTAAAAGCTATTAGGGTCAGTGGGAAAGTAATTTAAAAGCTATTCAAAGACTGGTGGCTCAGTGGTAAAGAACCCACCTGCCAATATAGGAGACGTGGGTTCCATCCCTGATCCAGAAAGATTCCACATAGAGCAGAGCAACTAGGCCTGTGTTCCACAACTGATGAGCCTGCTCTCTGGAGCCTGGGAGCTGCGGCTACTGAAGCCCACACACCCTAGGGCCTGTGCTCCTCAACAGGAGAAGTCACCACTATGAAAAGCCCGCACACCACAATGAAGAATAACCCCTGCCTATCACAACTAGAGAAAAGCCCTTGCAGCAACGAAGACCCAAGGCAGTCAAAAAACATTAAAAAAAAAAAATTATTTAAAGAAAAAAACAGTCCTTTGGGTAAAGAATTCTCTGAGTCCCTAATTTGGGGGTAGGAAGGTTAAACAAAGTAACTTCAGGCACAGTTCTTGATATAGGTTAGTTTATTGGTTCACACCAACCTTCAAAGGAGGGTGCAGAAAAAGGATTAAGAAAATGGGCAAGGGGAAATGAATCAGTTGCACTTAACCTTCAAAGTCTTTTTACTTCACGATGGCTTTGCAGTTAGCTGCTTGCATTACCCACCTGTGGGAAAGAAGGAATGAAAGGAGTATGGCAGTAAGAGAGAGAGAAGACAGAACAAGAGAGGGAATGGGCTAATTTAGGAGCCATGAAGCTATAGCTGAGCTACAGGAAGCACACATGTGTCCTTGCCAAAAATATCCCTGACCGTTCGTCCAACTTCATCTTGCTCCCCTCTTGCCTCCTAGCTTGGCCCAGACTCATTGACTGTATTTCTGTTCTCAGAGCACCTACCTCTTTGCCATCTCAGTTTCTTCACAGGCCCAGTCCTTTAGTGTGGACCCCATCCACCCTCACACTTGCCATCCAGGACGGGCCTCCACCCTCCTAGCACATATCCTTTAAGTCTCAAATATCTCTTCTGAAAGGGCTTCCCTGAGCCCCATTTTAAATTACGCTTCTAGGTTATACTTGCCAGTAATAGCTTTTCTGTTAGCACAGCCTTTTTCACAGTTTGTAGTTGACCCTGTGTTTGAATAATTCTTGTGTTTAATCTCTCTCTCTCCCTCTAGTTTAGAAGCTCCATGAAGGCAGAGACCATGTCAGTTTCATGTTCTATCCCAAAGCCTACCAGAGTCATTCGGTAAACACTGTTGAAGAGAGAAACCAATCATTTGAGAGGTTTAATAAAGCACTCTCATTTGTGTCCTTTGGGATATGAATATTCACAAATGGCAATGATTATTGCTGTCAAAGTAGGATTTGTGTACTGATAGGGTTTTAATCCCTTTGGTTTAAATAATAACTTGTATTATTAAATCTGATCCATGTGTTTAAACTGAAGACAGTTAAAGCGGAAGTCTGCTAGATGGATAACACAGTGACTTGGTATTTCAGGTTGGAATTGTACAGTATGGAGAAAATGTAACTCATGAGTTCAACCTCAATAAGTATTCATCAACAGAAGAGGTGCTTGTTGCAGCAAAAGGAATAGTCCAGAGAGGCGGCCGACAGACCATGACAGCCCTTGGAATAGACACAGCAAGGTATGTGTGTTCAGACACTCAGTTGTGTCCAACTATTTGCTGACTGTAGCCTGCCAGGCTCCTCTGTCTGTGGGATTCTCCAGGCAAGAATACTGGAGTGGAGTGCCATTTCCTCCTCCAGGGGATCTTCCCAACCAGATTTCAGGTATTGAACCCTAGTCTTTTAGGTCTCCTCCATTGCAGGCGGATTCTTTACCACTAGCACCACCTGGAAAGCCCACAGCAAGGTATATAGATTAAAAAATAATAATAATAAGCCAAAGTCAAAGACTGTGCAACAGTAACTGCTTACAGTCTAGTGCTTTGGAGTATTAACTGAACAGTTATTATTACCTTAGTAATATTTAAAGCCACCTCGTTGAAATCAGATTCAACTGATTAGCTAATAATTATAGGGTCAAATTTTCTATATTACAGTCTCACCATTCTTATCTTTCCTTTTATTCCAAGATTTTGATTGATGCAGAACCAGTCAAAAAAGTCATGTGGTCTACAGCATCATGTTCTTGGGTACTAAGACATAATATTAGATAATATCTTTTCCCTTTATTCTCTGTTTTCAGCTTCTAGTAATCTCGGTATAAAAAATGGATTAAATTAGTACACTTCTATTCAGTATATGTGTATACCATAATATGTCTATAATTTTACAGCATTTCGCAGATTTAAATTTACAGATGTAGGGTTGTTGAAGCTCTCAAATAAGAGTTTTTAAGAAGGCAAATTAAATGTCTTATTTGAAATCATTTTCAGTGAAAAGTTTGAAAAGAGGAAAGGATTTCATCATTGATACCCTCTCTCCTCCTTACTTTCCCCAAATTCCCTCTAATTCACATTCCTCCTTCCCTCCCTTCTGCAGTTTCCTCCATGGAGCGCACATAATCCACTCTGGCTGAGTTGCATTCTACAAGGATCTACAGAACTATCCTTTCCTTACAGTGTAGAGCATTCTCTTTTCTGTATTTTTCCTGATCCCACTCAGCTCTTTTGCTTATTTCTCCCCCTTAACCACCATGAAAGCTTCTGAACAAAAACTGAACAGTACCAAAATCACAGGAAATCTAATGAGCAGTATGACTAATGTTAAGGATCCTTCTCTTAAGAGCCTTCAACTTCTGGTCTCTCACCTGACTCTGAAAAGCCCATCCTCTCATTCCAGTTAAGATCCATGTTCTAAGAGGGCTAAAATGGTTAACATGGATACTCCAAAGAATGGATTGGATCTTCAAAAATTTTAAATTTCATGGTCTGCTTCAGACTCATAAATGTTAGAAAAGCATGTGGTTATAGTTAATGTGGGGCCCGTGAGAAAAATAACCACAAACAGATGGGGTAATTTTACATTCACCTGCCCATAGGATCACCAGTTTGCATGCACGGAAGTGCACGGGTTTAGGTGTGCTGAGTGCACTTTCTTAAGTAATTGACTAAATGTGACTGTACATTCAAAGTAAATCAAAGTGTTCTTTGAAACTCTGAGCCTGTGGGGAGCTGTGTCCTCCAAAGGCAACCACTTAAGAATGAATATTCATCTTTGAAAACTAACTGACGAAATATTCTGACTGCTTTGCTCCTGCATAAATACCACTCTAAATACCATGTCCCTATATGGCTTTTGCCTCTGTGTTTTCACAGAAGGTCTAGCTGTGGGACATAGAGTTTATTGAGTTTTGTATATAAATAAAACTCCATAATGACATTGCTAAGTACTCTTCTTATACATTAGTTTTGCATGTCTAATTGTTCTTTATTCCTTTCAGGCAGGATCAGTTCAAACAGTATTTCTAAATATTTAGAATCCTTACTTCCATTTTCAGTGTTTCCTAGTTAAACATATTTTTATGTCCCCTCATCCCTACCCCTGATGCTGAATTGAAACTCCAATACTCTGGCCATCTCATGCGAAGAGTTGACTCATTGGAAAAGACCCTGATGCTGGGAGGGGTTGGGGGCAGGAGGAGAAGGGGACGACAGAGGATGAGATGGCTGGATAGCATCACCGACTCGATGGACTTGAGTTTGAGTAAACTCCAGAAGTTGGTGATGGACAGGGAGGCCTGGCATGCTATGATTCATGGGGTCGCAAAGAGTCAGACACGACTGAGAGACTGAACTGAACTGAACTGATCCCTACCCCAAATTGTCTTTCTTTTCGTTGTTTCACATTATTTACTCATAAAGCCTGGATTGTCCTGTCCCAAAGAAGGGGATTCTTCTGGGGTGTATTAACATATAAAGCCATGCAGACTGGTCAATGCTTACTTTAAAGAAAGAAAAATGGATAGTGGGAAATGGGGGTCAAACATAATTTGCAGGACATTTGAAACATAAAGGGTATACACATGAACTCTGCCAATGCTACCCATAGAAAGCCAGTCCTGGTTTCAGAGCTACCAGATTTTCTTTAAGGAACGTCTTTTAATCATCGCCTTCAGCTGATGTTCATTCAGTTATGGCCTTGATCTTCAAGAGAGTCAGGAAATTTTGGCAATCTTCTAAGATAATGGTCCCCAACCTTTTCAACACCAGGGACTGTTTTTGTGGAAAACAATTTTTCCACAGACTGGGCAGAAGGAGGATGATTTCAGGATCACTCAAGTGCATTACATTTATTGTGCATCTTATTTCTGTTATTATTATATCAGCTCCACCTCATATCATCAGGTATTAGATCCTGGAGGCTAGAGACATCTGCTGAAAGGAATCAGAGTTGTAAAAAAGATTGATATCTTATCATATCCATGTCCAGATTTCATTTAAAGGCTAGACTTTAACATCTATTTTTCACCTTTGTACATAGAAATAAGTAAAAAATCTGTTTGTCTGGTATAGAGGGCAGAGATACACAGTTCCCCAGTGGTCAGTATTAAAAAAAAAAAAAGCTTCTTTTTCTCTTTTGAAAATTGTAGGAAAAATTGAAAATTAAAAAAATAGTACAACAAAATCCTATGTACACATCAAACAAAATCAACAGTTTTATCATCTTGTCATATTTGCTGTAGGTCCTTTTAAAGGGAAAACAAGCACAGATGAAATTGCTTTGCTCACGTCACCAGAATCCTCTCTCCCTCCTCACATGATTCCCGCTACTGTGCATTTACTGTATATCTACAGTAGAACTAATGTTTACCATGGCAAACCATTGGGAGGTTAAAACGAGAGGTGTTTCTTTGGTGTATTCCAAACTGCAGCTGTTTGTCCTCATGACCAAAGTAAAATATTTATCTTTCTGTTGTTTTCTTATTTTCTTTTGACCAAAGTGAAATATTTAAATAGACTATTCAGTACAATGATTGGTACATTTTATACCAAAAATGTACTAAAAAATATACTAAAAAAATATTATATGAAATCCATTCCATTCATTGTTTTAGTCCTAAGTAAAGTGTACTCTTGTGCAAGACTCCAGAGGGGAATGTGAAGTGAGGAAAAGAAAGTAATAAAGGGAAAGTGTGCCTGTGTGTGTGTGTCTGTGTGTGCACACAGAAGATACAAAACAAACAAAAATTGTCAGTTTCCCCTATCTTCCATCACTTGCCACAAATACTTGTTGAATTAAATTAAATTAAATCAAAATTCCTTTTTTGAAGTTAGCTCATAGCATGTTTCCTTTCTCTCCAGACCACCTTCTCCTACCTCATCCCTAGCAGCCTTTGTCCTAAAAATTAATTCAGGCCAAACCTTTCATAGCTAGCCAAACCCTCCTTGCCCCATGAACCCAGCTCTGTCACTGACTCAGACCACTGCCATCTGCAGTCTAATTCCTATGTCTAAATTTTACCCCATATCCAAGCGCACTCTCAAGCACTCATAGCCGTGCAGATACTGCGTTTTCTCCCACACCCACTCTGTAGCTCAGAAAATGGCCACACTCTTCTGTGAATGTCAGAGTAGGTGTGGGAAGTGAGAGCTAAAGCAAAAGCTTCTGCCAAAAGCAGACAGAAAGAGGCCTGTCAAGTGAGACAAGGAGTGTTTACAGACAAAGGTGGGACTGGGAGAGTATTTAAAATCTGACCTTCTCTAAACCTGCTGTATGCTCCAGTCAACACCTTCCCTTTGAAATTTCCGAAGAATGAAAGACTGCTGCCTTTTGGATAAACAAAATATCCCACAAGGGATAAATGGTGATTAGCAAAATGGTAACCTCTCCATCATCTGGAATAAATCTTAAACTATTACAAACAGTGAGCATCATGGCTCCCGGCTTGAACAATGGGAGTCAATGTTAATGGGCTCCCTGGAGCTGGTAGTGTTTTCATTTTGTTGATCACCTTGCCTAAACTTGGGCTGATGTTTGAATTGCTCCTCTTTTGTCTGTGATTACTTCAGGGAAGAGGCGTTCACTGAAGCCCGGGGTGCCCGAAGAGGGGTTAAAAAAGTCATGGTAATTGTGACGGATGGAGAGTCCCATGACAACCACCGGCTGAGTAAGGTCATCCAGGACTGTGAGGATGAAAGCATTCAGCGGTTTTCCATAGCTGTAAGTACGGGGCTAGAGATGGCTTTCAGGCTCTGGTGTGTGCATATCGTGATTATTTTATGAGAGTTACGCAAACAAGGTTGAAAAACAGAAGCGTCTCCATTTGGAAGTGAACTCTGTGGGGGCAGGATTAGGTCTTGCCCCTTTTGTGTCTTCAACATAGTGTCAGGCAACTGGAGACTCAGCAAACAATCACTACAAGAAAGGAAGGGAGAAAATGAGGAAAGGCTGAGGAGGAAGAAGGGAGAAAATGCATAAAAAGAAGCGAGGGAGGGAGAGAGAAAGAAAGGGACAGAAATAGGGAAGGGGAAAGAGGAAGAGAAAGGGGGAAAAGATGGAGGGATGGAGGAAGAAGAACATATGCCTTCAGCCTCGGGGGAGGGAGGTTTCTTAAATTGATTTTTTTTTTAATAGAGAATGAAAGATTTCAGAAGTCTAAAAGTTCAACCAAAATTGCTTTTCAACAAAATCCTTTTTATTTATAGTTCATTCAGTTCAGTGGCTCAGTCATGTCCAACTCTTTGTGACCCCATGGACGGCAGCATGCCAGGCTTTCCTGTCCATCACCAACTTCCAGTAACAGCAGCTATTACCCACAATTTGTTTATCAGCATTTAGTCAGTGATATTTCCCTTTTTCCTTTCAGAAGTGTGAACAGTGAAAGACACCCCATCCAATTGTAGGTAAGGAAGAAAAAGAGATTCATCCATGATGAAGTGCCAGAACACACAATTGAGTCACTGCTTCCCTGGGGCGAGGTGCCTATTTCTTGTTTTATAAACAGGTGATAGGCTATAAATGGTTGCAAAATTTTCTTTTTCATTTGGGGTATAAGATTTTTAAAAAATTAAAACATTCCATTATTTCTCATTCCCCTTGTTGATACTTCTTTAAGTTATCATTTGCCAATTATTATTCAATCCATCATTATCTCTCCTGCTACTACAGCTATTTTGATCTTTTCCAAGGTTGAGGATAATTCCTCATGGCCCAGCCTTCACTCAGAGATACTGTCCACAAGTAGAGACTATGCCTGGTCTCTTTAGTATGCAAAGCCAGCACATGCCCACTTTGTCCCACACAACCGGGTACCAAAGATGCCATCATTTGTTCAGTTTCCTCCCAGAAACTAGCATATAGTCTAGCATTGCAGATACCATAGATGCAGGTCATGAGCTGAATTAATCAGCAGCAGCATTAACAACAATGGGAAAACTTCAGTGGAATTAAAGTATCTATCATTTCATTGTTTCTTAATTTTAAGTGAATCTTATATCACTCTTATATTGTACCTGGCTGCATATTCAGTATTTATTGCCCATAAATCTGTTTCCCTTTGTTAGATCCTTGGTTGATAATTCACGTTTTGCCTCTTATCTGGTCAAAAAGAGGTCTCATGATTGCATTAACCTTCCTGGAGAACCATAAAATCATGAGTCCCTTCCCCATTTTAATCAATGAATTAGTGTCAAATTGCTCTTTGAAATGGTATAAACAAAAAGTGTAGGAAATTTTCACTTTAGCAACAATTATTTGTTATTTTCCCAATTCATATATTTTCCAAGTGAACCTAATATGTATTTTTTAATTTATACCAAACTAGGAAATAAGACAGTTATTTTACTTCTTCTCCTTGTGTATTCACATGGAAAGGTTTCAGGAATTTCTCCACACCTATTCATGATAAGATCAAATATTCTAGGGGGTCTAGCCCTGTCATTGACTGGACTGTTCCTCCTTCTCCATCTTTCTTCCCTCACAATTTGATCCTGAATACCACAGAGATGTGTTTTGGGTGTAGACAACCACTCAAAAAAGATTGACTACTGAAAAGATAAGCACTCTGACAAAACTGCAAACACTTCCTGTGAAATACTCAGATTTGGTGAGGGTGCTGAGCTGGTTTGAGGACCCTACTGCATGGTCTCTATTCTGTCACTTGAGAATATTAGACATTACTAGCAGGAGCCTGCTTTATATTCAGATTCTAATCTTAAATGATGACGGCAGGGTTTATAATGGCTATAGAATTGTATCACCCGTGCTCGCTTCAGGAGCACATATACTAAAATTGGAACGATACAGAGAAGATTAGCATGGCCCCTGCGCAAGGATGACACGCAAATTCGTGAAGCGTTCCATATTTAAAAAAAAAAAAAAAAGAATTGTATCACCCGCAGCATTCAAATGAAAATAAGGAAATTAGAAAATATCTTAGAATTTCTTTCACTGGCACACAGAAGGCACTGTGCTACATGTAAATGAGCTTTATACTTTACATTTGACACATCTGCCTCACGGGAGCTTCAATTCTGACTGTCTATTCCAGGTAAATATTAGCAGAACACCAAGTGCCTGGGCTTGACATATTAAGTGGACAGGATTAATTTAGAAGTATTATTTTGTATCTCTTTTGATTCATAGAAAAGAATGTTTTTACCAGCTACAAGATCCTTGGGTAAAGAACCAAAATACATTTCTCTCTGTTTTCGTTTTTATGCTGTGATACAAAATAGTTCAAATTGGCTGCAAGTCACAGTAATTCCTGTGAATTCTGTGAGAATTCTTTTCTCTTATAATTTCTGTGGGAATTCGCTTCTTACATTTTCTTCTAAATATATACTGCCATATTGCATTTATACATTTTATTTTTATTCTTTAAGTTTATTACTTGGACATCTTCCCCATTGAACTTTATCCACTTGTCTCTGTCCTGTGACATAAAGCACTAAATGTCTGATAACATTTACATTGCAACTAAGAGCCTCAATTATGTATAGTTCAAGACAATGTTTTATGTGTATCTTTAACTACATCAGTTTATAAGTGAAATGGAAGCTAACGTGTCAATTCAATAGTAAATCTAAAATATGTTAAATAGGAACCAAGGAGGTAAGATAATGACTTACAGAAAAAATTAGGTAAATCAGTGGGGACTTGGAGGGCTTCACACGATACAGAATTTTTATAAATCTAAAAGAAATTCACGCATAGCAAAACTGCTGACAAAAGAGAGGTCTGCCAGTGTGTGCAGGGAAGACCAAGTAGAGAATGAAGTGTTGAGCAAGGCCCAGAGATCCTGAAACCCACACCATAGATGTAATAAATACTCTGGACCTCAGAGACTCCGCCTTTTCCATCCTTACTCTGGGGCATGTATGCCCAGCTGTGGTGAGACACCCACCTGTAGGAAGAGCATTTGACCAACTCTCTAATACCTTTTCCATTTCATTCTCTTACCCATCAAGCAGCCCAAAGTGGGAAAAGCACTAGTGGTCTCTGTTAAAATGTAAACCACTTCTGATGTTCGGCATTTGCTCTTCAGCCAAATAAACAGGAGCTAAGTTTTTGTGTTCTGGTGTGATTTGAAAGCTCCTACATAAATCTGGACATAGCAGTCAAGAGTAATTTCAAAAGTCAAAAAAGCTTCACACACAGTGGCCCATTGACCTTAGAGCTACCTCTGGTTTTCCTAAATAGTGTGCTTCCTTCAAAGCAGCTCAGCTTCAAAGCACCTCACAGACAGTAAGGCATTTTTGCCTCCAAGGACATTGTACAGGTGCAGGAGCTAGGTAGCTGACAAGGGAACTGGAGAAATGCCCTGGTGGTCCTGGCGCAGGAAGCCCCCGGGCACAGATGTGTAGAACTCCCTCTGCGCCCCTCCCGCATGGGTAAAGAAGCAGCAATAAAGTCCCCATCCACTTCTCACTAGGAAGGAAAATTTGAGAACCCATGATGCACTGCCTGCCTGCCTACTTGGTACCCACCTCCTTTTCTCACATTAACATTTAGGTACATTAGAGCAATTCAGTTGTTGATCTAAACTGTTATGCATTTTATGATACAAATAAACAAGTATGTCGAAGATCATAAACAACAACACTTAAAACAATCATTCTAGTTATTTTCTTTCTAGGAGTGAAAAGCTATACCCATCTTTATAAAAGTCAGTTTTTAAATCTAACATTCTAAACCTAACAGTAAGGAAATACATGTGGAAGCTGAGAGCAGGCAGCTGAGGAGAGGTGGGGGAGCCACGTGTTCAGAGGAGGCGAGGCAGGGGCCGGGCAGCCAGCAGGGATGCCTCCACCTGTGCCCACCTACTTACATGTCCAAGATCCACCCAGTCCTCGATACCAAACTGTAGTTGGAGACTCAACTCTTCTCTGCAACAGGACTTTGGAAGCACCATGGAGGTCTTTGTTGTTAATGATGCCAGACAAATTCATGTCTACCGTTTAAAGATAAAGTGAAGCTAGAAAATTCTGGTAATTTCCTGGTTATTAAGGTCATAATTCTTGTTCTCCCCAAGGAGTCGGATAGTCTAAAAAAAAAAAAAAAAAATCAAGCAATGGCACGGAGCTCATGAGTCTTACATTTGTATTTTGGATTTCAGGAGCATAGAACTGAATGAATCATGAACTTTGGTTCAGGAGACATTCTCATCATTGTCAAAGCATGGCCCACTTTGTTTCTGTGTCTATAATTGTACCTGCATACTTATTTTAATAACGTTGTAATAACCATGAATATACTACCCAAACCAAGAGCTAGTTTGGTCCTCTGACAACTTACCACCTGCCTTATCACATTCATCACCTGCCTTCCTCCACCTGGTAACCATCAACCCAGATCCTATGCTGACTATCTCTTGATCTTTTTTCTTCTAAATAGTCCTTTGGTAATTGTGCATATCTGGAAAAAAGTTAATTTGAAAAAGGTTTTCTTGTTTTTAACTTTATAAAGCTAAAACATATAATATTTCAAAACTTTTAAACCTGAATATTAAATTGTAAAGATTCATCCATATCACTGCATAGCATTATAGATCGTTACATTTTTCAAAACTGATAAAGCATATACAGTGCAAAATTTCAGTGTGAATACTGTGCACAGAGTAAATAATCTGATGAGTTCTGACAGTTGTATTCATCCATATATTGTTGTTGTTGAGTTGCTAAGTCCTGTCTGACACTCTTGGCGACTCCATGAACAGTAGCACTCCAGGCTCCTCTGTGCATGGGATTTGCCAGTCAAGAATACTGGAGTGGGTTGCCATTTCCTTCTCCAGAGGATCTTCCCAACCAAGGGATCTAGCCAGCGTTGCCTGCAGTAGGAGGCAGATTCTTTACTACTGAGCCATCAAGGAAGCCCCTACACACCAATAGAATTGCTAAAACTAGTAAAAAGGAAGAAACTTGGTAACACCAAGAATTGTCATGGATGCAGAGCAACTGAGTCTCTCACATATCACTGGTGGGAAAGGTGAAATGGAAAAATGGAACAGTTGTTCTGGTAAATATTTTGGCATTTTCTTATAAAGTTAAATATACTTCTATTGTAGAACACAGTGCCTTCATCCCTAGGTCTTTACTAAAGAAAAAAGAAAACAGATAGTATTCCTAAGCACAAATACTTAGAGCAGCTTTATTCATAATCACTTGAAACTGAAAACAACCCAGATGTCCTCAACAAATGACTTGTATATCTAGACAGTAGAGTCCTACTCAACCATCAGAAGGACTGAATTATGATACATGTGATTACATGGATGACTCTAGAAAGCTATGCAAAGTGAAAGAACCCAGACACCAAAGGCAGCATACTATCTGATCCCTTACCATTAACATTCTGGAAAAACCAAAGCTGTCAGGACAGAAAATAGACCAGTGTTTGCACAGAGTTAGAAGGAAGAGGAGACTGACCACACAGGGGCAAGAGGCAACTCTTCGGAGTGATGGAAATAGTCTAATCTCAGTGTGGTAGGAGCACAACTGTGTAGGTTTGTCAAAATTCATAGAGTTGTACATCTAAAGAGGGTGATTTTTATTGTATATAAATGATATCTCAATAAACCTTACTTTAAAAAATTTAAAACTAAATGTTTGAGAAAACCTGATAGAAAATCTAAATAATTACAATTAACTATAGCAGATAATTCCTGCCTCTGTCTCTTCTCTGTTAAAAAGAATGTCCCTGTCTAAAGCATTTTGTTTTGAACAGGAATGTCCCAATTGTTTATTTTCTAGATTGCCAAGTTAGATTGCTCCTTAGTCCAACATCTGTTTAAAAAATATACATGTCTGACTTCCCCTTGGTAAGAGTTTCAGGAAGTACTGCCTGTTTGAGAGATCAAGCAACTCACTGGCTGTTAGCTTTTGCTAGCAAGTGGTGATGTCACTGACTGGAATAATATCAGAGACACTCAGAAACTGTAACATTACTTTTGAACTATCAGGCTTTAAAGATATAGCTGTTAATAAAGAGGGACACAGGAATGGCAGAGAAGAAACCTTGGTAAGCATACAGGATTACCGTTTATATTTTTCTACAGCAATTGCAGTATATATTAGAGAATTAATATAAAACAGTTAATATTAAAGAATCTGCAGATTCTGAAAATTACCCTTCTAAGAATGTGGAAATACATAAAAATTGCATTATGCCATAGTACTATATGAGCTTTCCTGGTGGATCAACAGTAAAGAATCCCTGGGTCAGGAAGATCCCCTGAAGAAGGGAATGGCAACCCACTCCAGTTTTCTTGCCTGGAAAACCCCAAGGACAGAGGAACCTGGAGTGCTACCGTCCATGAGGTCACAAAAGATTTAGACACAACTTAGCTACTAAACAGCAAGGAGGTATATACTACTATATACCTCCTTGCTTATTGACAAAATGCTTGAGATTCTTGTTTAACATCTAGAATTTAAAAGATATTCTTGCTCTTTTTGATGACTTAGATTCTTGGCAGCTATAACCGAGGAAATTTGAGCACTGAAAAATTTGTGGAGGAAATAAAATCAATAGCAAGTGAACCCACTGAAAAGCATTTCTTCAATGTCTCTGATGAATTGGCACTAGTCACTATTGTTGAAGCTCTGGGAGAAAGAATCTTTGCCCTGGAAGGTATGACTTTTTCTCATTAAGCCTGAATGTTCCGTCTGCAATTCAAACTCAATGCGTTTTTGTATTTGTTTTTACCACATGGCTAATGTGTTTTTACTGTGTACAGTAGCCACCATGGAACAATGCCCTTTTTCTATAAATCTGTCCTATAGCACTGTGTCTGCTGGCAGCTCTCTTTGTAAGGACATGGCAGTACTGATGTGAGGGCCAGATGAAGACAATAGTCCAACAGACACACAAAAACAAAAATATACCCGTGAGTTTTATTTCTTTTCTGTGACACAAGTTTAGAAAATGGAGACACTAGCTCGAGTTTTATTTTTATTTTTCATTTTGGGGTTCTGTAGGACAGTTCTTATACATCTCGAGACTTAATTCTTTCATTTTCTCAGTTTTGCTCCTTGCCCTTTTGAAAGGTCTTCATGGAGCTCTGCCTCAAGACCCATGGCAGCAAAACATTGGTTCACTATATTTGCTGAGTCATGCTTCTTCTTTGTACATTTTTTCTTTGATTTTTCAATGGCAACTGGATATTGGGAATAACAAGTCATGGCGTTCCCTCCTCTGCCTGAGGTAGAGATGTCAAGGAACAAATGACTTTGGAACTAGATCTTCCTGAGGGAAAAAAAAGAAGTCTTCAGAATTGTTATGCCAGGCACATTGAAAAAGCCTCTTGCTCACATTCTCCAATGGTCTGGAGAGTCAGAGAATGTGTCTTTGTTTCTCAGCCTAGGATAAGAAACCTCCAGACCGTTCTGCTGTTCTGCTCTGTCCGAATCTTGTTGACTGTGTCCTTGTGAGGACAGGCCATGCTGAGGACTGCTGTTTCTCACCTTAAACACAGAAACTTACAAGCACCTTCTCCATCTCCCTAATACGACCTGATAATGAGAAATAGAAAGACAAAATGAGAAAGACATCACTGAAAAATTGTCGACCGTGTTAACTGAGCATTAAGTGGCTGGGGAAAGTGATGGACAGAGAATATTTTAAAGTAGTAAAAGGAAAGAAGACGGTTTTAGGGTAATGGCTTTCAAGGTTTTTTTGATAGTGACTCATGCAAATCAATACATTTTGCTTTGTGACCCAGTGCACACATATGTATACATATAAAAAAAATTCCCCAAAACCCTTATTATATGTGATGCATTCTGATAGTTTCATCACTTCCATTCTACTCTATTATCTTTCAATTTAAAAAACAATGTGATTATGACTCACCCGGTTGATTTCATGACTGGACTGCAACCATTGAGGAGGGAATTTATTTCAGAGATGACAGGGATCTACAGCCCACCCAGACTGAATTTTTCTGGTTTCCTTCTGCCCTGACTTCTTTACCCCGTGCCTTTAGAAACAGAATACTCCCCTTATTAATCTCAAATCACAGCTGCTGCTAATGAACTTGGCTCTCCTGTGTTTTGTGTACAAGTAACTTTTAAGTGGCCTTGGTGTCACAACAGCTATCCAAGTATCATTTACTAATATGCTGGATTATGACTTTGGCTGGCCTTAAGGAACTATATTAGCTCTTCCAAGTCCTTGTGCATGTTCAGTTTTTAATAACATGGACCAGGTATGATAAAAACAATCTACAAAGATCATTTAAAAGAAAAATTACTTAGTTGAGCATAATAGAGTCTAAATACATAATACAGTTATAATACATTTCTAAATCTCATCCTAAGTAAGTAAGTAAATATAACCTAAGATGTGTAGGAATGAAGCCTATATGAGGTATTGGATGGAGGAGGGGTTCATCTGCCTTAAATGACATTTCCAGGTACTTTCTAACCTAACCACACCATGAGTTAAAGATTATACATTGGAGTAGCTGCATACTTCAAGAAGTATCTCCACATTTAAAAAAGAAACCATCTTATAAGGAACTCCTCGGGTTAAAAAATGTTTCCCATATCTTTATTATTATACTTCCAGGGCTAACCAAAAGCAGTGTTCTACTAGCTGATCTCTGATTTTTTTCATAATAAGATCCTAAAGGAATACCTTTCCTTGTTACTTGGGAAATCTCCATTTCCCATCAACATTTATCTTTAGATGGCAAATAGCAGCAAGTGTGAAAATCATGGTTGCCAAAGGACGGTGCCTGCTAGTGAGGTGAACACGCCAGGTTTTGCGCCCCAAAATGGGTAAACTAATGTCCCCTTTTCCCATCAAGCCCTTGGGAAAAATGCATAACCACACCCATGAACAAGTCCAGGGAGAAGCTGACAGCAAGAAGTTCAGGGATATAAGATGTGCTTCACCAGGATGAAGACTGAGCAGGCAGAATTTCACAGAACTTCCTTCTGTCTGTCCTCAGTTGTGAACAGAACAGCAGCAGGGGAAGGTGCTGGAAATATGTAGGTCCCCACTCCTTCATTCTGTGATCTTGCAGAGATAAATCGTAAAGCACCTTACACCATTGTGAAACCAAAATAAACTTTCAAATTAAAGTTAAAATGCATTTTAGTCATTTAAATTAGAGGACAATTTGTATGTGAGAGTAAAATGATATAGTTGAATTCTTGATTGATTTCTCCATTTAATCTAGTCCTTTAAAAGGCAATTTCTGATGTATTTGTTAACAACTTTATGCAGGTAAAATAACTAGTAAATAAGCTTGAGTTCACAAACTAGATTGCTCTCATACCTCAGTGAAAGAGTAGATTGACTTTTTTAAAATTATGTGCTATTTTTAACTTATCAGCAAGGCCAAATAAATCAGTAATTCCCTCCTGAAAGCAAATAAATCAGCATTCCCTTAATCCCCTTAGGAGGGTGTGGCTTTGGCTTGATGAATATTTTGAGAGCAGCACACTCCCAAAGAATGCTCTGGATTATTTCTGTGTTTCAGTAACAAGCTTCAAAATGGGTACAGGATCTTTAAAAAAAAAAAGTGTGGTCGAATGGCATGTGGCCTGGAGTCCTGTCAGAAAGACCCCTCCTGATTTGTGAGTGACACCCACAGTCAGACATCAGGGCAAATACAAACCCAGAGTCCCTAAACCCCTTATCAAACAGTGGAATTCTGAGAGAATATACCACAGGAAATACAATGAGGCTGGTAGAATCAAGAAACCTCTTTAAATATGTGAATCAGACATTAGCCCTCTGACATTTTAGTAAGTTTAGCCTAATCTCAGGAGGATACTCAGGGCATGAGGGTGGTGATAGAGCTTTCAACCATGCTGATGCCAAGCTCCATAGGCCCCCACATGGACAGAATATAAGAACTGAAGCATGACTAGAGCCTTAGCCCCCCCAACAAGGGAGGGGAAACTAACAGTCAGGAATGTGAGACACAGCCCTTCTGCTAACCCTCTCAGTCCTCTACCCAGCCCTGCCTAGGAATTTTTGGGTTGAGAAATCTTTGCACTGAAAATGTTCTAAAGATGCTGGAAGTTCTGGTTGGTCAAAACCACAGATCTAGGTCCCTGTCTTCTGTAGATCCGTACTGTGCTAAAGGTGACTCTCTTCCTCTGTTACAGCTACAGTTGACCAATCGGCAGCATCTTTTGAGATGGAAATGTCTCAGACCGGCTTCAGTGCTCATTATTCACAGGTACATTGACCACTTGGTAGAAAACATCTTTTTTTTTTAGATTTCCTTTCTCAAAGTCAACACTGAGACATCAGCATTACAGATGTGAGTTGCAGTTCATTACATGAGCAGTTATTCAGACCATGTAGTTTATAATCCAAATAGGAAAGAGGGGACTTCCCTGCTGGGTCAATGGTTAAGACTTTGATTTCCAGTGCAAGGGGTACGGATTTGATCCCTGGTCAAGAAGATCTCACATGCCTCACACCCAAAAAACAAAAACATAAAACAGAAGCAACCTCATAACAAATTCAATAAAGACTTTAAAAATGGACATGGAAAAGAAAAGTCTTAATAAGAAAAAATAATGTTACTAGTTGTCATAATTTTTTAAAAAAAGGAAACAGCATTTCACAGGCTACTTATTAGGAAAACATGTTATCACACACACAGCTCACTACACTACTAATAATCATGAATCAGCTTGAGGTCTGCCTTCTGTAATTATACATCTAATGAAATAAAATATTTAATTTACTGTATTTGCTAAAGATATGTATCTTTTTCTCAATGTCAAAGTATTCAAGGGTCTTACTAGAAGTTCATGTTCAAGACCCAGAATTCTTAACAGCCATAGAGCAAAAAGACAAGATTAGAAAATATATTCTTTACAGTAGATGGAAGAAAAGGTGCTAATACCATTGTCCCTGCACAGGAATATCGACATTTCAGGGTGCAATTGTAGTGTATAACCCAGGGAAATTTCCTTATTCTGCCTCAATTTCCTCTTCTGTAGAATGGGGATGATAATAATGGAATCAAGCCCAGTGGGCTTTTGGGACGATTTTATGGTTTAATATATGTAAAGCACTTTGAACAGTACTTATTATACTATTAATGCTATGTACATGTTTACACTTACTATTTTTGTTAAATATCATTGTTTTCTCTAATTGGATATCAGGACTGGGTCATGCTTGGAGCAGTAGGAGCCTATGATTGGAATGGAACAGTTGTCATGCAGAAGGCTGATCAAAGCGTAATTCCCCAGAACACAACCTTTAATGTTGAGTCCACAAAGAAGAATGAACCTCTTGCTTCTTATTTAGGTAAAGTTTGGATGTGATTGATAGAAAGTTGGTTTTTTATAAAAGTTTTGTGTGTTTTTTTTATTTTTAGCATTATTTGCTTATACTTATATAGGCAGACTTTGTACAAGAGATCACTTCTACAAGTTGGATGTTTTATAGGACCCATGAAAGTTTCCTGGCCTCTGAGTAACCTTAGTCAAAATAATAGAATATGAGGGGCCTTTCTTAGAAGGACTGTCTACACAGGGAGGGATTTGGACTGAAATTCACGCTTTTTGAGGTCTCTCGGTGTCTGGTATTCTCGTTAATGTCACCAAGTGCTTCAGACCCAGTGAATAGGAAGCAAAGGTAGAAAAAGAAACCTTGACTCAGCCTACCCTGAATACCAGACTCCCATATTCTCTTAGATATTTTTTATCATTAGTTTCTCTCTATAGGTCCTACTTTTGGAAGGTAAACTTTTTACTTGTTTTTTCATATGACTTCTTCTTTAGTACCTTTGCTGACAATCAGAAACATTGATTGTCAGTAATGTAATGATTTTCCAAAGACTTGCCTAGAATGAGGAGGTGTATGTCTGGTGTCACTTTATTCTGAATTTGTGCCAGGCTGGGAGCTGTCTGGGGGATACCAGGGGACTCTTCCACCACTGGTCCATCTCAGTAAGCAGTTGGGAGGGCCTAGGATGGAAGGGCTTCCCTGGCGGCTCAGATGGTACAGAATCTGCCTGCAGTGCAGGAGACCCAGATTTGATCCCTGGGTTGGGAAGATCCCCTAGAGAAGGCAATGGCTACCCACTCCAATATTCTTGCCTGGAGAATTTATGGACAGGAGAGCATGGTGGGCTGCAGTCCATGGGGTCCCAAAGAGTCGGACATGACTGAGTGACTAACACATACAGGATGGATAGGACCCTCAGGATATGGTTTCCCAGCTCTCTCTATTCACTCAACAAATATTTGGGGAGCATTTCTCATCTCTCTTTACTGGCACATCTGTACATCTTTTTATTCAAAGGCATGTATTAAAGCTGTAGAGGCAACAGAATTTAAGAAGAATAAAGAGTCTGAGGAGTTTTGGTAATTAAAAATATATAACAGTTAGCAGCAGGTATAATGTGAGTGCTAAATCCCCTTAAGACATTTTATTGAACTGCACTAACAGAAGTCTAGTCTATTTCTCATAAATGACCTATTTCATTCTGCCTTAATCAGAGAGCAGCTAGAATATGCTAAGCTTTGTCCTAAGCATCACACATTATAAAAGAAAATGCTGAACTAGAATCACCAGTAAAAATTTATCTAAAGGCTATAAATCTGAAAACGATCCCCATCTACCCATCCCTCTCCCCACCAAACCTGAAAAAAATGGTGGTTAGAAAACAGTGTACACTGCATGTCTTTTAAATATTTGAAGGATTGTGATGTAAAATAAAGGGGTTGCTATTAAAATTCATATTCAGTTTTAGCATTAAAAGAGATCTTAGAAAGCAATTGGTACACATCTAATTTGCCAAGTTAAGAAACTGAGTACTAGAAATATTATATCACAGTTAACTGTGGCAAATCTGAAACTGGTATCTAGGTTTTTTAATTCTTATTTCAGTGTTCATTTCACCATACCAAAATGCTGATTCTGGGCTGATCAAGAAAACACATAAATAATAAGTGCCTGCAGTGTGTCAAATATTCAGCTGTAAATTAAGCGTAACAAAGTAAATAAGGGAAATTTATTCCTCCATTTATGAAACTTATCGTTTTGGATAAGAGACAATACAGAACCAACCAGTCACCAGTAGTATAATATGAGCTATGAGATAGAATACCTAAAAAGAGGACAGGAGGTTAGGTTAGATAGTTTCTAAAGGTTCTTCATGTCCTATGAGTCTATGAGACTCTTCTATTAATATGTGAAATACCTTGAAATCTAGAACCAGTTTAACATGAGATTTCTTTCCATCCTAGATAGAAGAATTGGAGAACATTTGTTCTCATAAAAATGTTTACACCATATTGACTTAGAAATTTCACTTTTGAGGATCTAACCTAAAGAGAAAATCAGTTATTTAAGAATGCCAAGGGAATGGTTGTTTTCATTGTTTTGTTACTTATAATATTGAGGAAAATGACATATCCTAAATGTTCAAAAATATGAGAATAGTGAAGTAAATGGTAAAGCCACTTGATGCAACATCATGCACATAAAAATAAAAATTGTAAAGCTGCTGATCCCATCATACTTGAGGTGACTTGAAGTGATTGTGGCACTAGGCATGCAATCAGACAGGACAGAGGTACTCTGAGGTCATCGGAGTCTTGAGTTTGTTTTCTGACTCTGCTCCTGGTTATTACTTTATTCCTCAAAGCCTTGATTTTCTTATTTATAAGAAATAGTTTATATACACAGGTATATAAAATTTGCATCATTATGAATATGAGAATAAATAATCCCTGTAAGGTGCTTAGTGTTGTGACAGATAGTTGACCCTCAATAGATGTTGTCTATTGTATTATTATGTAATGTTGTATAGTAATATTCCTCTTATTAGTGTTATGATAAGCAGAATATAGACCCCAAAGATGTCCATGTCCTAATCCCCAGACTTAGATCTTATGTGACAAAAGGGACTTTGCAGATGCAATTAAGTTAAGGATCTTGACATGAGAGATTAGCCTGGGATACCTGGTTGGCCCCAATCTTATCACATGAGATTTTAAAATCAGAGAAGCTTTCCTGGATGTGGACAGGGAGAGATAGAACCATAGAAAAATGGTCAGAGAGATTAATATTATTGGTTTTAAAAATGGAAAATGGGTGCCACAAGCCAAAGAATGTGAGTAGTCTCTAGAAGCCACAATGGGCAAGAAAATGGATTCTCCTCTGTAGCATATGAAGAAACTAAGCCCTACCAACACCATGACTTTAGCCCAGGGAGACCTAGAGCTGATTTATGACTGTATAAAATAATAAAATCGTGACATGTTAAGCCATCAAGTTTGTGGTAATTTGTTACAGCAACAATAGAAAACTAATACAAGTATATTATATAGCTACTAAGAGTAGCTGATATTAATACTGCTACTAATTAATACTGAACATTTACAACATTAAAGATATTGTCCACAAAGATATTGACATCCACAAAGATGTGAATGACATAGTCACTACTCTAAGGAAGTTCACACATTAACACCACATTTAATAATATATTAAATAATAACTTTATTTAATAAATAAAACTATAGTATTTTTAGTATTCTGAGTGATTATATGATTAAATTCTCTAAAAATAAAAAACCTTAAAGAACTGTAAATCTATTATTCTCAAAAACCTTGGGTCAATTATTTGCTTAAAGCAGACTTGGGGAATTCAAGATTGAAAGATACTGCTGTAAGCAAAAACATTAAGAACCTTCACTCCTGACCACATATTTATAATATATGACTCCTATCTGCCCAGAAAAGGAAATTTGGGGGTATATTATTGACAGTGTGATAAGATGATTTTTTGTTTGTTTCAAAGATTTTTTGAAACCTTTTTATTAGCTTAGTCACAATATAAAGTCTAATATATGTAAGATTTCTTTCAAAATGGAAAAGCACTCAGAAAAAGATCAAGGGAGAAAAATGGCTTTTCCTCCAAATATTATTCTAAATCTAAAATTAAGGTTTCAAAATGTTTCCTTGCGTGGGTTACACATTAAGAAGAGTTCGAATGTGTTCTTCCAATCTGTGTGGATTGAAAGTTGTTAGACTATGAAAATTCTGAAGGAAGGTAAGTAAGAGGTAGACAGTCTATTAAAAAATCTTATAGTAACCAATAATGATCAGAAAGCAGCAGGAACCAGCCATGGAACCTCCCTCAGGACAGTTATGCACCCATATTTCTGTAACCCAGCAACTGCCTTTTGCAATATGCCCTGAGCAAGTGGCTCTGATGGAGAGGATACAGGCAAGATCCTGTTCCCTGCCTCCCCCACTCACAGTTTGCTGATTTCTAATCACACCAGACTGATTCAAGAGGAAAGGTAAAGACGTGAGGCAACACATGAAATCAAGACAGATCCTGTGTTTCCCATTACCTCACCTGATTCTAGCACTTTTCCCAAGAAGTGAATCATGAGAGCTGACAGGATTTACTCTTCATAAATCCACACACAGAGCTATGTCATCAGTTTTCCTTTCTCTTCAGTTCTGTGCCTTTCTTTTTCAGAAAGCGGTATAAACTTTTAAATCTTTATGATGATTTTCCTTGCATTAAAATTAGACTTTACTGAGTCCTCCTTCTTGCTCTGTTGTTATTGTAAAAACGCCCAAGCTTCAGTCAGGAATACCTGCCTGGGTTGTTACTGTCCCTGTGAAGGTTTCAGCTAATAGTTTAGTTATTAAGTGTGCATCACCAAAGTCAACTAGATAATAACAAAACTCCAGCCTCAAACACGATTTTCAACTTATTTTTTAAAGGTTATTTTACCAGTTTGCATTCATAGTTCTGAAATTGAAAAAAAAAAATCCTTGTGTACAAACACTCTCGTCCCACTCCCTTCTTAATATTTCTAATAGAGCTGCATGAAATAAAATAACCTTTGTTTTGTACATTCTCCTTTTCCATTTTATTTTTATATAAACACTACCCTAAAGTTTTTATTTTCTAAGCAATATTGTGGTTAGTAACAAAAATATAACACATGACATGTCTGGAAAAGAATATTTTACAGTCTATTATGTGTAGTAATTTTTTAAAAAAAGCTCTAAGATGAAGCAGTGGAATTGTAAGAAAAGTGTTTACGAAAGAAAATGTAGCTGAGGAATTGTGTTCCACTAGCATTTGTAACGGAGTAGGCAATGGCACCCCACTCTTGTACTCTTGCCTGGAGAATCCCATGGACAGAGGAGCCTGGTAGGGTACAGTCCATGCGGTCGCTAAGAGCTGGACATGACTGAGCGACTTCACTTTCACTTTTCACTTTCATACACTGGAGAAGGACATGGCAACCCACTCCAGTACTCTTGCCTGGAGAGTCCCAGGGACAGAGGAGCCTGGTGGGCTGCTGTCTCTGGGGTCACACAGAGTCAGACACTACTGACATGACTTAGCAGCAGCAGCAGCAGCAGCAGTAGCAGCATTTGTAAAAATAAATATATTTGAGTACAAAACCTCTATTTCTCTCTTAAAGTTTTGGAAGAAAATGAAACTATTATCTTATGGTAAAATACTTGGTGAGTAAATTATCAACATAATCTTTTTCTCAGTAAGGAATTCTATTCTGTGGCATTTGGAAAAATAATCTGCCTTCTACTCCAGTAGTGGCCAGCACTGGTTATTAGAACATTTCTTCCTTCGGTAGAGTTGAAATCTGCACATGGTTATTTTTATCTGTTTAGCTCTGTGCTCTAGACATACAAACAATAAATCTAATTCTTCATTCAAAATTAATAATAGTCTTTTTTTTTCCATTTATTTTTATTAGTTGGAGGCTAATTACTTTACAACATTGCAGTGGTTTTTGTCATACATTGAAATGAATTAGCCATGGATTTACATGTATTCCCCATCCCGTTCCCCCCTCCCACCTCCCTCTCCACCCGATCCCTCTGGGTCTTCCCAGTGCACCAGGCCCGAGCACTTGTCTCATGCACCCAACCTGGGCTGGTGATCTGTTTCACCCTAGATAATATACATGTTTCGATGCTGTTCTCTTGAAACATCCCACCCTCGCCTTCTCCCACAGAGTCCACAAGTCTGTTCTATACATCTGAGTCGCTTTTTCTGTTTTGCATATAGGGTTATCATTACCATCTTTCTAAATTCCATATATATGTGTTAGTATACTGTAATGGTCTTTATCCTTCTGGCTTACTTCGCTCTGTATAATGGGCTCCAGTTTCATCCATATCATTAGAACTGATTCAAATGAATTCTTTTTAATGGCTGAGTAACATTCCATGGTGTATATGTACCACAGCTTCCTCATCCATTCGTCTGCTGATGGGCATCTAGGTTGCTTCCATGTCCTGGCTATTATAAACAGTGCTGTAATGAACATTGGGGTGCACGTGTCTCTTTCAGGTCTGGTTTCCTCGGTGTGTATGCCCAGAAGTGGGATTGCTGGGTCATATGGCAGTTCTATTTCCAGCTTTTTAAGAAATCTCCACACTGTTTTCCATAGTGGCTGTACTAATTTGCATTCCCACCAACAGTGTAAGAGGGTTCCCTTTTCTCCACACCTTCTCCAGCATTTATTGCTTGTAGACTTTTGGATAGCAGCCATCCTGACTGGCGTGTAATGGTACCTCATTGTGGTTTTGATTTGCATTTCTCTGATAATGAGTGATGTTGAGCATCTTTTCATGTGTTTTTGTGCCATCTGTATGTCTTCCTTGGAGAAATGTCTGTTTAGTTCTTTGGCCCATTTTTTGATTGGGTCATTTATTTTTCTGGAGTTGAGATGGAGGAGTTGCTTGTATATTTTTGAGATTAATCCTTTGTCTGTTGCTTCATTTGCTATTATTTTCTCCCAATCTGAGGGCTGTCTTTTCACCTTGCTTATAGTTTCCTTTGTTGTGCAAAAGCTTTTAAGTTTCATTAGGTCCCATTTGTTTATTTTTGCTTTTGTTTCTAAAATTCTGGGATGTGGGTCATAGAGGATCCTGCTGTGATTTATGTCGGAGAGTGTTTTGCCTATGTTCTCCTCTAGGATTTTTATAGTTTCTGGTCTTACATTTAGATCTTTAATCCATTTTGAGTTTATTTTTGTGTATGGTGTTAGAAAGTGTTCTAGTTTCATTCTTTTACAGGTGGTTGACCAGTTTTCCCAGCACCCCTTGTTAAAGAGGTTGTCTTTTTTCCATTGTATATCCTTGCCTCCTTTGTCGAAGATAAGGTGACCATAGGTTCGTGGATTTATCTCTGGGCTTTCTATTCTGTTCCATTGATCTATATTTCTGTCTTTGTGCCAGTACCATACTGTCTTGATGACTGTGGCTTTGTAGTATAGTCTGAAGTCAGGCAGGTTGATTCCTCCAGTTCCATTCTTCTTTCTCAAGGTTACTTTGGCTATTCGAGGTTTTTTGTATTTCCATACAAATTGTGAAATTATTTGTTCTAGTTCTGTGAAAAATACCGTTGGTAGTTTGATAGGGATTGCATTGAATCTATAGATTGCTTTGGGTAGTATAGCCATTTTGACAATATTGATTCTTCCAATCCATGAACACGGTATATTCCTCCATCTGTTTGTGTCCTCTTTGATTTCTTTCATCAGTGTTTTATAGTTTTCTATGTATAGGTCTTTTGTTTCTTTAGATAGATATACTCCTAAGTATTTTATTCTTTTTGTTGCAATGGTGAATGGTATTGTTTCCTTAATTTCTCTTTCTGTTTTCTCATTGTTAGTGTATAGGAATGCAAGAGATTTCTGTGTGTTAATTTTATATCCTGAAACTTTACTGTATTCGTTGATTAGCTCTAGTAATTTTCTGGTAGAGTCTTTAGGGTTTTCTATGTAGAGGATCATGTCATCTGCAAACAGAGAGAGTTTCACTTCTTCTTTTCCTATCTGTATTCCTTTTACTTCTTTTTCTGCCCTGATTGCTGTGGCCAACACTTCCAAAACTATGTTGAATAGGAGTGGTGAGAGTGGGCACCCTTGTCTTGTTCCTGATTTCAGGGGAAATGCTTTCAATTTTTCACCATTGAGGGTGATGCTTGCTGTGGGTTTGTCATATATAGCTTTTATTATGTTGAGGTATGTTCCTTCTATTCCTGCTTTCTGGAGAGTTTTAATCATAAATGGATGTTGAATTTTGTCAAGGGCTTTTTCTGCATCTATTGAGATAATCATATGGTTTTTAAAAATTAATAATAGTCTTAAAGACTTTGAAATTTTGAAGGCCATGAAAGCTCAATTAAAAAGAGGAATGATTAAACATGAGAGAGAGTTATTCAAGCTCACTTTTAATCAAACAAATGAAAATTAAAATCATGGCAAGTTATATTGTTTAACATTTAGTAGAGCATCCACAATTTTAAATAATAGTTGTATACCTAATGTTTGTGAAATTTAGGTGAAACTACCCTCCCCAATGGCTGTTCATGGAATGAATTTGTACAAATATTCTGGAAACAATTTGTCAGATGTTATAAGAACCATTAAAAATTGATCTGGTAATCTATCCCTTGAAATTTGTCATCAAAAAAGTCCAAAAGAAAGGAAAAAAGTAAGTGCTCAAAGAAGTCTTTGCAGACTTGTGTTATGCCAAAAAAGTAAAAACCACATAAATTCCACCATTTCATCAGGAAATGATCCTGAGGTATAAACACAAGGCATTTACACTTCAATTCAGATAAATAAGCTTCATCCACTTAAAATTACAGTTAAAAACCTAGACAATGATACAGAAAAGGTTTACACTTACAATGATTCCAACTGTATATAATTATCCATTTCTATAGCATAAATACATGCATCCAAATGAAATACAGTTGGTTTATTACCAAAGAGTAAATTGAGATTACTAGAGTTGTGTATGTGTGTTTTTCTGTCATTGTTATATCATTTGTGCCTTTTAACAGTGAAAATCTAAGGTTTGGAGGAAAATACATTTCAGAATGAAGCAACAGGGGTAGATAATCAGGGAACAAACTAAAAGCCCTAACCAACACAAATTTACCTGCCTTAAAGAAAACATTTATTTTCAAAAAAAGAGACGTCCATATAAACATATAAAAATGATTCTCCCAGCCATTTAAAATAGATCTTAATTTATTCCATGCAGACTCTAAGGGGCCAGCAAGTATATCTGGCATCTCTCTTTTGTTAGGTTACACAGTAAACTCTGCCACTATTCCTGGAGATGTGCTCTACATTGCTGGACAGCCAAGGTACAATCATACAGGCCAGGTTATCATCTACAGGATGGAGGGCAGAGACATCAGGATTCTCCAGACACTCAATGGAGAACAGGTAAGCTTCAAACTTGTTTTAAATTAATCCATTCATAGTCTTCCTGTGTAAATTGAATTATCTATTGTCCTAAACTTTTTAAAAAACAGCACACCAATATTCAACATCCACGGTATATAGGATCTCATGTTAGGTTTCTTGGAGGTATGTAAACTTATCTGCATCTTTGGCATCAGGAAAATTTCAGCTAGATGGAGATAGAGGTAAGAAAAATAGATACTGATGTAGATACAGACATATAAATAAATGCAAAAGGAATCTCAGACAGTAAGAAGTATGGAAGTACCAGTGCCACAGATTCAGAAGATGGAAAGATCCATAAGCTAGGATTGGTACAGAAAGTCTTCCTAGGAGATAAAATGTGGGCTAGTCTAGAGGAAAGACAATGTAGAGAGGCAGAAAGAGCCAGTTAAAAAAAGTAGGTACCAATTGTATGAGGTTTTGAGTGGTAAAGAATTCAGATTTTCTCCTGGAGGTGATGGGAAATAATTTGTAACATGTAAAATCAGAGAATTCTCTTTTGATAATATTGAATGTTAAAAGTAATTTAAGAAAAACTATATATGCAATATGCAAACATAACTATATATAGATATTTTTTAAATTGAAAGAAACATCTATGCTATTGTTGGTTATTATTAAATTGTGACAATTTAAGTAAGTAATTTTTATTCCTTTTTTCATAGTTTTCTGCATTTTCCAAGTATTCTAGAATGAGATTGTGTTAGTTTTATTCTACATTCCTCATGGGATGGAGGCATTCTTGGGCTTCACTAAATATTCCAACTCTCTAGTTTACCTGCCCCACCCCACCCCCACACACACAGAATACTCAGAAGTGCAGGGAAGTGCCAGCCTCCCTCTCCTGCAGGAACCCTGACAGGCACCCAGCAAATGGCTCAGCTGAGGTGCCAAGAGACAGGTGCTTCAAGCAGGTGCAGTTGCTGCCCGGGCTTTAAAGCCCTACAGGAGGCAAGATCTTTTCTAGTAGCACCATACGCATAGCTTCCCTGGGTCTTGTTAAAGGCATGAAGTTTCAAGAGTCACTGCTTTCTAGGAAGCCCAAAATATATTATTTCCATCAGGTATTTATCATTCCCCCCAGCCTAAATGCAACATCCCAATCAGAGGTTTTGTCACCACACTCAATGCTGCTAAGTGTTGTAGTTGAAATCCTTCTCTCATCATATTACACAGTTAGAGTAAGCCAAAGGTCAGATTCTCATTTAGCAGGTGAGAGGGTGTTATTAGCCCTTAGCCCATAATCAGAAAATGCATCAACAATAAAAACAAGGCTCTTGTTGGAGGTCAAGGATGAGGTGAAAAGAATCTGAAATGATAGATCAACAATAAAAATGGAAAAGGAAAGGATGTGGCGAACATAAATAAGGAAGAATTGACAAGATTGTAAAATAAATCATTTGGATGATATCTTAGGTCTGTTGTATACTTGCATGCTCAGTTGCCCAGTCATGTGCAACTCTTTGTGATCCCATGGACTATAGGCAGTCACTCTCCTTTGTCCATGGGATTTCCCAGGCAAAAATACTGGAGTGCATTATTTCCTTCTCCATGGAATATTCCTGACCCAGTGATCAAACCCACATCTCCTGCATCTCCTGCATTGCAGGCAGATTCTTTACCACTAAGCCACAAGAGAAGCCCCTTAGATCTATTATCACTCTATTAATTGTCTAAAAGACAGGAAATGTAATATTTGTAAAAAAAAAATACTTATGAGCACTTGAGGAGAGTATCACAAATGATAATAAATCATGAAAAATTTGAATTTCAAGTCTGGGAGAAAGAAGGCACCATGATTAAAATGTCAGCAACTAAAGCAATTTAAAAAAAAAATTTTTAGTGGTATTTGGTTTTAGACAAGTTTTCTATAACAGTGAGCACAAATTCAAATGGTTGCAAGTGGCAGGGAGGTAGAGGCAATGAAAAAGCTGCTGGGCAGAAGACAACAGGAAGTGGGAGCCAAGGCCTGGGCAGCTTTTGGCTTAGCCCCTGCTCAACTCTGGATGGCTATTGCCATGTAAGAATGAAGGGCCAATATTGTCAGATCTTAAAAAATTTTAGTTATATTTGTAATTAATTCAATCTAAAAAGCAAAGACTTCTTAAACCCTTTATAAGCCTGTGAGAAAAGGACATTGTAAAAATCAGTGTCTATCAACTGTCTAAATGTCTAACAATGTGTAAAAATGTAGAACTATGGGTCTTGCAGAGGATGGAGTGAAATTTGCTAGTTAAGATAGTGGGGATTGTTAGGGAAGGATTAATTATCTAAGGGAATAGAATAGTTGCAGGTCTGAACTTAGGGGAGGTCACAATCTAGGGGATGGAAGGAGAGAAAGGAGTCGTCAAAATGAAAGGGTGATCTATGATATAGCGGTAGAACCAGGAGAGCAAAAGTAACATCATGGAGGCCAAGACAGGAAGTTTCAAAGAAAAAATTATAAGAGCATCAAATTTCAAACACAGGTTAATATTTGGGAAAGTTATTGTACTTAGTGAAGCACAAGTACCCTGAATTTCCCTAAAACTCATCCCTGTCATTAAAGAGAACATATAATCCTGCTAAACCATGGTCCGCCAGCAATCCTTTTCTATTCCTCTATCTCCCATGGCTGCTGGGACAAGACTTAGCCTTTTCTGTCAAGTACACAGTCTTCTAAGATTCTAAGGTAAAATATGCTGCCCCAATGTTCCGAGACAATTCAATTCCTTGTGGTATATTTCAGGTTATATTTTCATCTTACTGTATTTAAGCATATACTGAAGCCACTGGGAAATGCCCTGTATTGTTCATTTCATTTAAAAAATTGTTGTATTCTTACTAGTCTTTTCTGATTCATGCAGAAGAGAAGTTAGGGTAAAAATCCAAAGAAAATCCTTACTCTTATTCTCAAGCTACAGACTCTAATATGACAGCTGCTCATCCTCCTGGATGGAACTAACTAATATTCATTAACTTCATGCAGAACCAATAAAGAGCCCTCCGGTAGCATCAATTTCTATATCTCATTTCCTTGGTCATCTGAATCCCAGATACTCTTCTCGATTGGTATAAGAAAAACGCAGGTTTTTAGTTTCCTTGAGAAGTTCTGATGTTTATCAGACTGTTTTGTTCTGTTTTGTCTTGTGTCCTAGATCGGTTCCTACTTTGGAAGTGTTTTAACGACAATTGACATTGATAAAGATTCTAATACTGACATTCTTCTAGTCGGGGCTCCCATGTTCATGGGAAGAGAGAAGGAAGAACAAGGAAAAGTGTATGTCTACGCTCTGAATCAGGTAACAGTTACTTTGGTAGAAATTCAGGAAAATCTCTTTCTTTGTTTCTTAAAATTTCAGTTAATAATATTCTCATTTTTCACTCACTTTGGCAAAAGGAACAAAGAAGCTTTCAGGGCCAATCTACCTCACTAACCCCTCAGCCTCTCAATGAACATTTAGAATTGTAGCAAAATAACTCAAACACTTAGATATTTTCTGCTTATAAATGTGAACTTTATTAAGAGTATATAGAATAAAGATAAATAAATTTCACTAAATTGCCAAATTCTCAGGGCAACCATTTGTGAGCTCTGTCTAGGAGTGGGTCACATTAACAGTTCAAGCTCTGTGTGAGTGTGTATGGGCACACGTGTGTGTGTAAAGGTAGGAGTGAGGAGAGAATGCAGAGAAATAGTGAATGTTAAGGCAGTCACACCAAACATTGAGCAAACTGCTGTGGTCTTTGGAATACTTCAGTCAGCTGCAGTGAGATTTTTGTTTTTCTGATCCTAGCTTCAGACATCATTTGCTAAGTGAAATAATTCTTGACTTCTTCATTAGAAGAATTTTTGCTGTTCACAGCAGAGTTGGGATGTATCTATTTAGCTTGTTAAATTTTTAGTCTTTCCCATTTAATTATTTTAAATCATAAATTATGTATCTTTCTCCCTATCATCTTTTTGATTCCTCCTGTCAACATTTTTGGTCCTATATTGTTTTTCCCTTTTTCCCAAGAAACTGTGCTCCTGTTCATCATTTCTGTCCTTTATAGGGAAGAATATAGAGAGACTTTTCCGAAAAACACAATAATGGATAAAGAAAGGATAGTGACACAAATTGAGAATTTAAAAATTCAGCTCTTCAGCTTTAAAAGGCTGCTGTTGAATTATATACTCACTCGATTACATTAAAAAGAGACTCCATTAAAATCCTCAGTACATCCTTGCCTACACTCCTAAAATCTGTTCGTGGAAATTTCTAACTTTGCTCTCAGATAGACACACTTCTTAAGAAATTTTGCAAACTTTATCCTTCAGGTACAAATGGTTTTTAATAGCACTGATTTAGTACATACTTTAAAACTTTGCTCTGCTGTAGTTATGACAGAAATCCATAAGGATTCTGTTTATCTTTCTTCCAGACAAGGTTTGAATATCAAATGAGCCTGGAACCCATTAAGCAGACTTGCTGTTCATCCCTAAAGCACAACTCATGCACAAAGGAAAACAAAAATGAACCATGTGGGGCTCGTTTCGGAACAGCTATCGCTGCTGTGAAAGATCTCAACCTCGATGGGTTTAATGACATAGTGATTGGAGCGCCCCTGGAAGATGACCACGGAGGAGCCGTGTACATTTATCACGGAAGTGGCAAGACTATAAGAGAAGAGTATGCACAAGTGAGAAATGAAACCTACAGATTCCTTCATTTATTTATTATTTTAGTGTAACAGCCATGGATGTTACCAAAATACAGTAATGGTATATGGTCATACAGTCAGTTGCCATGTATGGGTTTTTTTTAGTTTTATTAGTCATTGAGAAAGCATCGGTTTATTATATTATTCATGTATTTCTAATCCTGTGATTCTTGCCCTTAATTGATAAATGGGTTCAATACCAGGTATCACCTGTCTTGCTTCACAAACTATTTAATTTTTTCTTCTGACTCTTGGGAAACTAGATTTCTAAGTTTTCTTCATAGTAGAATTACTTGTATTGGATATTTTATTGTTTTGTCTAGTTTTTCTTTTGTGTATATGCCTTGTCTTCATGACTTGATCTTTTTTTTTAATTGAAGGATAATTGATTTACAATTGACTTGATCTTTTGAAATGGTAAAAAAGCAGAACAAAAGAGCACTTTTTAACGATGCTATTTACCAACTACAGTGTGTCTGATCCTAAACAGAGGGTACCACTTTCTGAGAAAGAGAATAGTAATTATGTGATTTAGCTAATAAAGGAGAAGAAATTGTTTTTATATTCAGTACCCATGTTTTTATAATAAAATCACATTAAGTTTATATTTTTGAATTAAATTGGTGTATTTTCATAAAAATAAATTTGGACTTCTGAAGGTTTATAATTTTCTACCAAGTAATCCCTCTTGGAAAAAATATGAATAATTAAACTTAACATGCAGGGGATTTCTATTGTTCTTGATTTAAAATTATTATCAGCTAACGACTCTATAAATTAGAGCCTAATATATAAATTAGAACTTTTTCCTACATAAGAAAAATGTCCATTCGCAGAAATGTTTTATGTAGTACAAAAGCAAAAGAATTTAAAGGGATTCCTTTAATGTAATTGTCTGTTTTTAAGTAACCATAGTTAATTGGGCATTGAACAACTACTTATAAATAAAATAGAATTCACTACTTTTCTAACATATGAAAAGAAAAACCGAGCATCAATTATTTCTTTTTATTTTGTAAATGTTCTTTGGCTCTATAGTCAACAGAATTCTCAAAATCTATTCATGTCTTGTGAAGTTGTCCTTAATTTTTCATTGTCATAATGGCATTAATAGTGAAAAACAAAATAAAAGGCATTTTCACTAACAACACTCCTATCTTTTTAATAAGTGATTTCCTTCTGTTAAAAATCTTCACGGTATTTTGTAACTGAAAACAGGCAATATTAACTATTGGAGTGTGATGGAATCAGGTACTGGAAGAAGGAGTTTCTTTCTTGTGTTCTTTACATTATTCATTCCGGTTCAATACCTCAAACTTAATGGAGTGGCACTTGTAATATAAAAATAAGGATTTTAAAATCATTAGTAAGTAGACTAGATTCTCTTAAGCAATTATTTTGTAAAATGATGATAAATCAAGATGCAGCTTTAAGCAACAAAAACAATAAAAAATATTAGAGTTGAGTTTGTTTAATTATTGGCAGAATGCTTTCCCAAGAATAGGTGAGAGATGTGCTCATTCATTTCTATGGTAACTAGAGGTGCCGCTTGTATATGGAATAATCCAGAATCAAACTGAATCAAGCCCTCCAGAAGCAGTGGGGTCAGTAACTCCTGATTTCTCTGCAGAAAAATATAAGGAAACAATTTCCAGTGAACCACAAACCTTTAGGCTTGAAAAATGTTTTCATTTGATTTACCTTATTTGGCTTCTTAAGTTTTATGACATTTCAGTGGAAGATAGGATAAGGAGACTCCAAGTTTAGGGAGAGTTTGTCAGTCAGGACTCCTGCCATCAGGTTCTGTTAAAATGCTATCAGCTTGAACCTGAGCTAAGTTAGGAAGTGCAGGTGCCAAACATATTGTATATGGTAATGTGCATGAGAACTCCCTATTCATTTGTGCTTCCCAGCACTGTGGATGCATGTGAATGAAATAGAATGTATTATGCTCTTGACTTTCAGTACCATTTTTGACAGACAGTAAAGATCACATATTGAAAAATGTATTTGATGGAATGTATTATTTATACCCAGCCTCAAAGTTCAGTGAACCCCAAATTGACCCTAGGATAATTTTCCACTCCCCGTCTTGCTTGTATGATGTGTTTCCAGTACCTTTAAATATCTCTGTGTAATGGAATTGAACAGAAACTAGAAAGCAGAGCCAATTACTCATGTTTTCCTTGAGGATTACACAAGATGACGTTATATAATATTTTTCCCTCTCCCTGGTGTCAATAACCCTGAAATGATTTTGTCTGCACTATAAAAAGAATATCCTTTGGGAACATCTGAGTAATTCCTCTTGTCCCCGCATGAGGGGCCTCTTGGGCAGGTTTCCAAATGATCTCTCATTTTAATTTTTTGTCAACCAATCCAAGTTCTCAGATTTATTTGAAACGGTTTTTCAAGAGACTCTTCTGACATTAAAATTCTCTGTTGGTATTTTCACAGCGTATTCCATCAGGGGGAGATGGCGAGACACTGAAATTTTTTGGCCAGTCTATTCACGGGGAAATGGATTTAAATGGTGACGGTCTGACTGATGTCACTATTGGGGGCCTTGGTGGTGCTGCCCTCTTCTGGTATGTATTTTAATAACAGCCAATTAATCTGATCCACAGCATCCAGAAATTGACATGACACATTACTGAGTCCTTGCCTGAGTGTGTGCGCTAAATCGTGTCTTTGCAACTTCAGACTCTGCGACCCTATGGACTGCAGCCTGCCAGGCTCCTCTGTCCATGGGATTCTCCAGGCAAGAATACTGGAGAGGGTTGCCATGCCCTCTTCCGAGGGATATTCCTGACTCAGGGATTGAACCCCAGTCTCTTATGTCTCCTACATTGGCAGGCATGTATTTTAATAACATCCAGTTAATCTGATAATATTTTACAGATAGGTCAGGAAGATGCCCTGGAGAAGGAAATAGCAACTCCAGTAGTCTTGCCTGGAAAATCCCATGGAGAGAGGAGACTGGCAGCCTACAGTCCATGGAGTCACAAGAGTGGGATATGACTTAGTAACTAAATAACCAGAGCTCAGAGTATGATCAGAGTTTGTATACAAAATGTCCATTTCTTTTTTTGCTCCAATATTCAGAATAAAATTATGTAGTTTGGGAATCTGAGAAACTGATAAATCTTAAAAATAAAGCACCTGTATTAAAAGAACAAGTAGAAATCAACTCCTAATGTGGGTTATCTATTATGTGATTGTCATTCCACTTAGAGGAGGGGATAGGGGAAAAGAGGGCCTCATACAGGATGTATATAAACAAGAAAGTTTCCCTAAATTTAAGTTACTTACAAGCTTTTAGGGATAACTGACTCTTCATTCATTTACATAGTGCATAGAACAAGACGTTTGTGCATCACTGACTGACTATATTGTTGGTCAAGTGTAAAAGCATCTACAATAGTGTCTTCTCTCAGTCTTTAAAATGCCTGCATCCCCAAATTAATTTCAGTTAATTGTAACATCCTCATCAATAGTCAGATATGTTCACTAATGCCATCTAATTAATTAATTAGCTTATTAATAAAATAAAAAGTTATTAATGGCCATTTTTATTCTCCAATTTGTGTCAAAGGCTACTTTCAAAGCCCTGAAAACTTGTTCATGGCCTCTCCTGCCCCCAGTCAAGGCTTTATCATTGATGGGCCAATGACAGAGTTAGGTTCCCGACATCACACGGCAAAATGGACCAAGCCAGCATAATGAAACACGAAGACGGAGATTTGCAGCGCTGAAGGGGGAACTCTGAGAGGGTACAGCTGGCAGGCGATAAATAGAGGCCCACACAGGAGTCAGGGATGTCCGGGAGAGCCCGATCCTGTGGGCTAGCCTGAGCCATAGATGCTGTAAAGATCTGTGTGGAGCAGAGAGGAGGCGTGCGGTGGGAAGAGGTCAAGTCAACCTTATGCCTGAAGGACCCAAACGACACACACTCATTCACTCATTCATTGCTGGTGAAAGGGCAAACTGGTTAAAACCCATTATCAGGCCTTTGTCACTAAAGTGTTAAAAAGCCTTAATATGTTCTTTTTTAAAAATTTTACCCCCTTATTGCAAAATTCATACTTAAATTGAAGAAAGTAGGGGAAACCACTAGACCATTCAGGTATGACCTAAATCAAATCTCTTACAATTACACAGTGGAAGTGACAGGGATTAGATCTGATAGGCAGAGTTCCTGAAGAACTATGGACAGAGAGGTTCCTGACATTGTACAGGAGGCAGTGATGAAGACCATCCCCAAGAAAAGAAATGCAAAAAGGCAAAATGGTTGTCTGAGGAGGGCTTATAAGTAGCTGAGAAAAGAAGAGAAGCTAAAGGTAAAGGAGAAAAGGAAAGACATACCCATTTGAATGCAGAGTTCCAAAGAATAGCAAGGAGAGATAAGAAAGCCCTCCATGATCAGTGCAAAGATATAGAAGAAAACAATAGAATGGTAAAGACTACAGATCTCTTCAAGAAAATTAGAGATACCAAGGGAACATTTCAGGCAAAGATGGGCACAAAAAAGGACAGAAATGGTATGGACCTAACAGAAGCAGAAGATATTAAGAGGTGGCAAGAATACAATAGAAGAACCGTCCAAAAAAGATCTTCATGACCCAGGTAACCACGATGGTGTGATCACTCATCTAGAGTCAGACATCCTGAAATGAGAAGTCAAGTGGGCCTTAGGATGCATCACTATGAACAAAGCTAGTGGAGGTGATGGAATTCCAGCTGAATTATTTCAAATTCTAAAGGATGATGCTATCAAAGTGCTGCACTCAATATGCCAGCATATTTGGAAAACTCAGCAGTGACCACAGGACAGGAAAAGGTCAGTTTTCATTCCAATCCCAAAGAAAGGCAATGCCAAAGAATGTTCAAACTACTGCACAATTGCATTCATCTCATAGGCTAGCAAAGTAATGCTCAAAATTCTCTAAGCCAGGCTTCAACAATATGTGAACTCTGAACTTCCAGATGTTCAAGCTGGATTTGGAAAAAGCTGAGGAACCAGAGATAAAATTGCCAACATTCATTGGATCATTGAAAAAACAAGAGAGTTCCAGAAAAACATCTACTGCTTTACTGACTATGCCAAAGCCTTTGACTATGTGGATCACAACAAACAGTTGTGTTTCCACAACTGTGTGGAAAATTCTTCAAGAGATGGGAATACCAGACCACCTGACCTGCCTCCTGAGAAATCTGTATGCAGCTCAAGAAGCAACAGTTAGAACTGGACATGGAACAATAGACTGGTTCCAAATCAGGAAAGGAGTACATCAAGGCTCTATAATGTCACCCTGCTTATATAACATATGCAGGGTACATCAGGTGAAATGCCAGGCTGGATGAAGCACAAGCTGGAATTAAGATTGCAGGGAGAAATATCAATAACCACAGATATGCAGATGACACCACCCTTATGGCAGAAAGCAATGAAGAACTAAAGAGCCTCTTGATGAAAGTGAAAGAGGAGAGTGAAAAAGTTGGCTTAAACTCAACATTCAGAAAACTAAGATCATGGCATCTGGTCCCATCACTTCATGGCAAAATAGATGGGGAAACAATGGAAACAGTGAGAGACTTTATTTTTGGGGGTTCCAAAATCACTGCAGATGGTGACTGGACCCATGAAATTAAAAGACACTTGCTCCTTGGAAGAAAAGCTATGACCAAACTAGACAGCATATTAAAAAAGCAGAGACATTACTTTGCCAACAAAAGTCCATCTAGTCAAAGCTATGGTTTTTCCAGTAGCCATGTATGGATATGAGAGTTGGACTGTAAAGAAAGCTGAGCGCTGAAGAATTGATGCTTTTGAACTGTGGTGTTGGAGAAGACCCTTGAGAGTCCCTTGGATTGCAAGGAGATCAAACCAGTCAATCCTAAAGGAAATCAGTCCTGAATATTCATTGGAAGGACTGATATCAAAGCTGAAACTCTGATACTTTGGCCACCTGATGCAAGGAACTGACTTATTTGAAAAGACCCTGATACTGGGAAAGATTGAAGGTGGGAGGAGAAGGGGAAGACAGAGGATGAGATGGCTGGATGGCATCACCGACTCGATGGACATGAGTTTGAGCAAGCTCCAGGAGTTGGTAATGGACAGGGTGGCCTGGCATGCTGCAGTCCATGAGGTCGCAAAGAGTCGGACATGACTGAGCAACTGAACTTAATTGAAAATTTTTTAAAGATACAATCTATAATTAGAGATATATGATCTTTACAATAATCATAGTGATGTAGGTTTTAGATTTTTTTAAGGAGTTAAGATACATATCCAATAAGAGAAGTTTGAAGAAATAGATTATGGTTCATGCATTTGTTGGAATAGTATGCTGCTGCTGCTGCTAAGTCGCTTCCATCGTGTCCGACTCTGTGCGACCCCATAGATGGCAGCCCACCAGGCTCCTCAGTCCCTGGGACTCTCCTAATGTTCTCAAAAAAACAGAAATATTGGAAAGTTGCTTATAATATCTTTAAGTAGGTATGCTTATATATATATATCTGGGCCAGCATTTGTATATGCATATGTGTGTATCTCTCTCTATATATACATGTATTTGAATGGTGATTAGTGCTGGGTGATAGAATTACAACTGATTTGTATTTTTTTGTTTCTTTTTTTATGTTTTCGTATTTTCTATGGGTAAATATTTTTAAGAGAAAAATATATAATTTTTTTAAATGCAAAAACATTAGCAGAGTCCTATGTATTCACAACATCGTTGTTGTTTAGTTGCTAAGTCGTGTCTGACTCTTTTGCAACCCATGGACTGTAGCTCACCAGGCTCCTCTGTGAAAGGGGATTCTCCTGGCAAAAATACTGGAATGGGCTGCCATTCCTTTCTCCAGGACATCTTACCGACCAGGGATTGATCCCACATTTCCTGCATTGGCGGGCGGATTCTAAGAGCCAGTCTGATTGCAAAGCAGAAGCCAGATAAAGGTATTTAACAATTATACTGGCTTCATTCTAAGGCACTGGCCTCAGGCTCCATATAGTCTCTTTGCCTAATTTTGGATTACTGTCTTCTCACTTTGGATTAGTGGAAATCACCAGGCATTGGAATTAGAAAGACTGGGTTTAAATCCTAGTTTAAATCCCTGGACAGCTTCTGACAAAATAATCTCTCAAAGCCTTAGTTACATATAAAGCAGAGAAAATAAAATGTCTTGTTATGAAAGTTAATTTAAAATGTAAATGAATAATAAATGGCATGTATATAATAATAAATAGCACAGTGCTTCTCGTGCTATTCTGCTTCTCTTTCCCAGAAACAGGAGCAGGGCTGACCCTACAAGAAGGACAGACAAGTATTAGAGTGCAACAATGTTGTCCAGGGGTCCTCTGGGCTCTTCCCAGGTTGGGAACAAACTCGAAGGTGCTGAAACTATGGTTTTGGTTCTGAGTTGGCACCTGGCCACTTGATTTCATCTCTTTTCTATCATAGGAAATCACAGTTCCTTGGCCTATCAATTGTAGGGAATGAAAATTAATTTTCCTTGTACCTTTCTGATTTCCTGGCTGAGACTTCTGTAATCAAAGAGATTAACAGAAAAAAAAAACTAAAACAAACAAAACCAGAAAATACCCAGAAGTTTATTAGAACACATATACCTCATGTATACATGGGAGATATTGAATAATTCTCTGAGGTAGCTTAGAATTCACACTTAAAAATTATCTTAATAGGGAAAGGAAAGGGAGATGTAGGCCTCTTAGGGAAAATGAACGATTTTTAGGAAAGATGAATAGGCCCTTAAAAGAATAGATGGGAGGTAAAACGGTTTGTAACAAAATTTGTCTGGGTGTGGTATCCCCTCCAGCCTCCTCTTCTGTAACAAGTCAGTCTTCTCTGGTTGATGACACTCCTGGGAAAAGATTTATGACAACTGAGTTCTCTTTAGAAGATACATCTTTAGGCAGTTAATTGGAGTTCTGAGAAAGCCTCTCAGCATTTGTTGTATTTTAAGTGCCTGCAGTTCAAATGATCAGTATACCAAATGACATGCTTTGCGATGGCGTGTCCCAAACTCCGATATTTTAGGGTGACATATTCTGTCACCCCTCAGAACCCAATGCCTAACTTGGTTCCAGAATAACCAGGGTGTCTTCAGAACGTCAGATACAGTCTCTTCTGTATCAAAGGTTCATGAGAGAAAGGCATCCTGAGAACCTATGCTGCATACAAAGAAGGATCATCTCGGATGACTCACTTTGCACTCACTTTAAGGATGGCCATGCATTAAATGTGAAAATAAGTAGTGATCCCCCATGGCTTATGCGTTTGCAGGTCTCGCGATGTGGCTGTTGTTAAAGTGACCATGAATTTTGAACCCAATAAAGTGAATATTCAAAAGAAAAACTGCCGTGTGGAGGGAAAGGAAACAGTGTGTATAAATGCCATGGTGTGTTTCAATGTGAAATTGAAGTCCAAAGAAAACATGGTTTATGAAGCTGGTAAGTGTCATACGTACAGAAGTACTCTGGAGCAGGAGGACAGTGTATTCTATTGCCCCCACAGGATGAATCCAGTAAGATAGTCTCTTCCCCTAGATAGGAATCTTACATCATATTTGCCTCTGTGAGCATACTGAACCTTGAAAAAAATTCTAGTGTAGAAGGAGTGGGTTATGGAACCTGTAAATTTTGGAGCAGAAACTGCATACTTATATTTGGTTGCCTTCCATAGTTGGCTTCCGTATTTCTCCTCTGGCTCTCCTATTTACTCTGAACAATCAAGTGCTAGAGAAAGAGGGACACCAATTCTAAGGCAGAGTTGAAGACTGGGCTCTCTCCAGTAAGACTGATATTACAAAGGACCTGAATGCCCCCATCTTCCTGAGATCTCTGCTCCAATCAGAAGGTGACCCTTGTTTTTTAGGGTCAAACAGATCCCATGTGTGTTCTCAGGCACATTACATCAGCCTGGGTATCCCTTTTTTGCCTATATTCTACAATTCCTAAAGCAGTTTTTAATGATATTGAAACATGTTGGAGCCAAAACTGTGACGATCATAGGCTGCCCAAGAGTAGTTTAGTCTGCAAACCAAATATAAGTAGAATGAGAAAAATGATTAATCCTTAAAATCTACTTTTCTTAGTTTACACTACATGTGCCTATTTATGATCTGCAGTAAACCTCTGACTGGAAGATAAATGAGGTATAGGAATGTAAAATAATGACTTACATTATCATATGCAACATTATTTGTCTTACTTTTATATAGTAATTAAGCAAGGAAATAAGAAAGATTGTTGCCTTCATATAAGGTATAAGGCCTAACTTGTTTTCCTTATTGTGGTATGCCTATTTTATTAAACTTTTATTTATTTAGCTTATTTTATTATATCCTTTGAATAGTCAAAAATGACATCTTTTTTAATATAAGTTAAAAATATCATTAATGTATATTTTTGCTTCTGTTGAAATACAACATAGTCAATATTCTAAACAGGGGTCTAACATTTCTAAATTAAAAAAAAAAAAAAAGCTAAGTGAAAACCCAGTAAACTTACCCGCGTGGTCAAGAAATTAGGTGGTATGTAGGTAGGTGTGTGTACACATACATATACATTTTTAAATAAGAGTAATTAAACATTAAAAGCCTTGCAAACTTGGAGAGTTCTTTAGAGTTCCTCAAGATTATCTTCATGACTGCAAATACCATTGTACTACAGTAGTGTGAATATGCTGAATAACTTGTATTGACTGGTTGCTCTGGAGATTTTTCTATAATATTAATGAGCTGGGTCATATGATAATAACTCCAAATGAACATGTCTGCCAATTATTCTTTGTTTATTTTTATAGATATGCAGTACCGTGTCACATTAGATTCTCTAAGACAGATATCACGGAGTTTTTTCTCTGGAACTCAAGAGAGGAAGATTCAAAGAAACATCACAGTTCGAGAGTCAGAATGCACTAAGCATTCCTTCTACATGTTGGCAAGTAAATCATATATAATAGCTGACTTATTCCAGATCAAAATAAAATAGAGATGCCTTATTTCAAGTCAGTCAGTTTTACGTTTACTTCAAAGTACAAATCACAAATTAAACTTTGTTCACTTTTCTTAGAAAATCACAGATCTGATTTTCTAATTTCCAAATATATTTCATAAAGCTATCTTTCATATTCCTTCTGTATATTATCAGACATCCATATATTATAGAACAGTAAAAGGCATGGTGCACCAGTTGATAGAAATCTTGTATTTCATTCATTTATTCATTTCATTCATTCATTCTTTCAACTTGAAAGCATCACTGAACTTTTGTAGGATTTGTCTGTCAATTGTGGCTAAGTGGTTAAATGCCCTGAGGGGGAACTGTTGGGCCTTATGCTTTCTGGGGTCTGTTTCTGTCCATTGAACTATATGTTTCACTCTTTGACTTTAGACTGAAGGAAAAATATCGCATTTTCCGTCATCTGTAAGCTTTATGCTACCTGTTTCTATTTTAGTGGATGAAGGAACCTTGGAAAGCAAATTATTAACCTCTAGAGATGGCTGCTAAGCCAGTTTGAACCATTTGAAATGTATTTTATTGCATCACTGGGTACGTGGAGCAAGAGTCTCTTAAACATACGTGACACTAAAGAAAAAGGAAAGCAGAACAGATGTACTGAGAAAACCCTGATTTCAGTAATGGAGACTGAAACTTAGAGACTTGAACATGATCTTGGAAATTTAAATGAAATAAGCCTATTTGCCCCCACTTCTGACTTATTTCATTATTCCTGATGTATTCATGTTTCATATTTTGAAAATATTGTAGTCAGGGGCAGGAAAGTGACAGAAGATATGCAAGCTGGTGTGTCATGTTTATTCTTCCTCAGTAATTTTCAAGTTAATATTCCTCATGACATATATCAAGATAAGCATTTTTGGTCAATATTGAATTCAATCTATGGTGAGAAAAATAAAAATGGAGCTAATTTCCTATTTACTTCATCAGAATTGAAACTTTAAGAGTTAGAACTTGGATAAAATTTGAAAAGGTGTGAAACCAGATTTGGCAGTGTCTCCAACCTACTCACTGTTGTATATATTTCTCCAAAAATTTAGCATCTAGCTATATCTAGGCACTGGTATTGAAAGGAATGAACTAGTTTCAAAATTTCCAAAATACTTCTGGATTTTGATGGATACTTTAACGTTTGTCATGGAGTCAGCCAGGAGGGAATTTGTAGCCCAGCTTCCCTACATTCTGAGTAGTTTTGACAAAGTGGTTTAGTCTCTTAGAGGCTCAGTTTTATTTATCTGTAAAATAAAGATTGTAATTATTTTGTGTCTTGGAAGATTGTTGAAATAATTCTCAATAATATGTATAAAACTGATAATCCTGGCCATTCCATAAATGATGGCTGTCACTGATGGTAATAAAAGCAATATTGATCACATCCATATTATTTTCATATCCTTTTACATTATAAAATTCTTACAACTCAAGGTATATATCATATTAAAGAAATGCAACTCAGTTTAAAGAAGGGTTGCTCTCTTGAAGTTGAGAGATGTTCCTAGAAGTATTACATAGTGTTTTTTAGCTCAAAGTCTCAAGAGAAACGATATTGTTATGCAAGTAGCTTGGAGCTGTACATCCTGACATGGCCAAGTACAACCTATCCATCATTCCAGCAGGCCCATCTGAGAATCTGGACGTGAGTCAGCTGGTCATAGTCAGAAGCCTCTGTGTTCCAGAAGTGTCCCTTGTCAAGACAGAGGGCAGTTTCTCTCTAGTGAAGCAAAAGCCTGATCAGGTCATATGGCAGATCAGGAGCACAAGAAGGTCCAATAAGCCTGATCCATGGGGGAGAAGAAGAAAGCCATCACAGGGCCCAAGAAATACGATGCCAATGACATATTCTGTGTTTTGACCTCTAGGACAAGCATGACTTTCGGGACTCTGTGAGAATAACTTTGGATTTTAATCTTACTGATCCAGAAAATGGGCCTGTTCTTGATGATTCTCTACCAAATTCAGTACATGAATATGTAAGTCAGATTTTTAAAATTTAGAATGCCTATTTGTGAATATATTAGGAAAAAAAACCTGAAACATATAAACAGATGCACACACTTAAGCCTAAAGCAATTATATTAATTTTTTTTTAAAGGCATTAGATTTTTCTAGACTTTTCTCAATTCTTACTTCCTTTTGCTGGAGTTTAAGGGAACTTACAAATGACACCTATTTTTATCTTTTCTGAATTTAGGAGCAATTGAAAGAAAGACATGGGTTGGCCAACTGGAACTCCCCTTTATTACCAATGAACACTGGGTTCCAGGGCATGGTTTGAGTATAATGGGGGTCCTCCTACAGAGCCAGGTTTAGGCCACAGGTAACTAAATAGGTCATTAGCAGTACTTACTAATCTCAGGCCTTCCGGAGGATCCACTTTGTAAAACTTGCAGAATGAAAATGTGACGTATGCTTCCTGCTGGGCTCACCACTACCCCAACAGCGAAAGACAGAGGAAGAGACTAAACTGTGCTCATCTAGTTTACGCTTCCAAGTTCAGACTACTGTCTGATCGCTTCAAAAGAGTGAGATTGTGAGTGGCACTGATGGAGTTTGTTAGTCATTCAGGCATATCTGATTCTTCGTGACCCCGTGGATCACCAGGGCTCCTCTGCCCATGGGGCTTTCCAGACAAGAATACTCGAGTGGGTTGCCGTTAGTGGAGCTGAGATGGGAAATTCCTTTTCCCATGCACCTATCTTCTGCTTTCCCTTCCTTCTTTACAAATATATTTACTGAGTGTCTTTCATGTTTCAGGCATCAGAACTTGCAGTTCTAACCTAGGAAACAAGTATTAGGTGGTCATTACAGGACATGCCCTGTAGGAGAACTTCAGAGCTCAAAGGGAACTTCTGCTACACTGAAGTATCAAGGATTAGAAAGTGAAAAGTGAAAGTCGCTCAGTTGTGTCTGACTCTTTGTGACCCCATGGACTATATAGTCCATGGAATTCCCAGGCCAGAATACTGGAGTGGGTAGCCATTCCCTTCTCCAGGGGATCTTCCCAACCCTCCCTGGAACTTAGGCCACTGCAGTTGAGACCTGAAGCACAGGAAGATTTTTCCATCTTATTAGAGGAGTGGAGAGGGCAGTGTTCCAGGAAGAGGGATACATGCCAAGGTTCAGAGACATAAAGGAAACTCAGTAAGCTTACTAGTGCTGCTGAAGCTGAAGAGCAAGGGCAGAAGGTGATGTGAGATGAGACAGGAGGCATAGGCAGGGGCCAGATCACCAGGACTTTGTGACACTGCACAGACTTTAATTGTTCCTGAAGAGCCGAGAACTGCTCTTGATGGCTTTAGTTGGTTTGGTGATAGCACTGGATTTTGGGGGGTTCTTTGAAGAATTACTTCAGCTGCAAGGTGGAAAATGTTTGGAGGGAATCAAGAGTGGGTATGGAAGACCAGTCAGGGAGTTGTTTCTTTAGTTCAGGGGAGCAAATAAGAAGAGCTGGCTAGAGATAGACGTGGAAATGCAGAGGCAAGGTGGTGTGGAAGATATTTAGAACAAAGAAGAGTGGATGGTTCTTGGTGATGGGTTGGATAAGGCGGAGGGGCTGAATGAAGAAGCGGAGTCAAGGAAAGTGCCCAGTTAGGTGGCCTGATCTTTTTCTACCCGCTTGACTGAAGCTATTATGATCTTAAGTATTTGATTCTTTTAAACAGAAAATCTCATGATCAGAGTTGACTGTTACAGTGTTCTCTCATAACTTTGGATCCTGGAGTACTTGACTTATTTCTTTGAAACTGTTCAGTTCTGGCGGATGAAAGCCAGTGAAAAACATCTGCGAAAACTGTACGTTCCTTAAAAGACTGGAAAAATTTATAGCCAAAAGTAAAAATTATGATTTTCCCCTATAAATTATAGGAACAACTATAAAAATTCCTTATGATTTCTGCAGTGAAATCTGTTCTCTTTATGACCTGCTTATTTTGGAAATATATCATTTCTTTTATGCAAGTTCATAGGTAATTTTCAATAATGCCTAGCTAAATTTTGAAAAATTGCTTTTCTGTGACTATTTCAGATTCCCTTTGCCAAAGATTGTGGAAACAAGGAAAAATGTGTCTCAGACCTTGCCTTGGATGTATCCACCACAGAAAAGGGCCTGCTTATTGTCAAGTCCCACAATGATAAGTTCAATGTTAGCCTCACGGTCAAAAATAAAAAGGACAGTGCCTATAACACCAGAACCATAGTGAATTATTCTCCAAATCTAATTTTTTCAGGAATTGAGGTAAACCTTTACTTTTATGTTTACTTATTCTTGTAATAATCATGCATTGAACCTACTTTTCATACTACTGGGGTAACTTTTATTACATTGATTTTAGAAGACTAGAAAGCATTTTGTCCAAAACTAGCACTTACTAATGATGAAAGGACCAAACTTTAAAAAAAAAAAAATGTTTTTATTTTGATGTATTTCTTTAGAGGTTGTATGACTCTTCTTGGATTCAGTATCCAGAAAGGATAGCTGATGTACAAAAACTGTAGGCTTCACAGAAGCCTTACATCACTGAAATTGAGACTAAGCCAAGAAAAAATAAAGTCAAAGAGGTTAACAGAAGGACAGAGAAGGAGCAGTACATTTGCTGAACAATAACAAAACATTTCTGTGCATAAAAATCAAGATACCATTCCCCATTTTCTATGCACGATCCTTACATTGGCAAAGGAGTTGTATTAAATGACTATGTCTCATTATCATGACAGAATGGGTTTTTTTATTATTATTATTTTGGCAGTAACATACAGCTGCATAAGATGCTCTATCAGGATTAATTAATACTTCCAAATTTGAACTTTGCTTTTAATTATGATCTCTGAATTAACTCCCCTGAATTAAAATTCTGTGTATATTTATATGAGTTAGTACTATATGTGATTCACATTAAAACCAAGTATGCTTAATACATATAATATTAAAACTTTAATTGTCCAGGTTCTGTAAATTCAGATTTTCACTGATGTGTGTGTGTGTGTGTGTGTGTGTGTGTATGTGTGTGTGTTAGTTGCTCAGTCATGTCCGACTCTGCGACCCCATGGACTGTAGCTCACCAGGTTCCTCTGTCCAAGGGATTCTCCAGCAAGAGTACTGGAGTGGGTGCCATTTCCTTCTCCAATTTATTAGGACATCACTCAGGAACGTGATACTCAGATAGACTTAAAACATATCCTATATTACTGCCACATAGTTTAGATTCAGTAAAGAATGTTAAATAAAAATCTCAATGAGCAAAGCAATGCCAGGAAAATAGTACCTCTGAATTTTTCTGAGAAAAGAGGTCTGTATTGAAAGTCACTCTCTGTATCTTCTTCAACTGACTTCATGGCCTTGGCAGAGAGACAGAGAAATCAACGAGGCCTCTCTCTAAATAGTTCTATTTACAATAACAATCCTAATAATGATAGTTTTTTCTTGAGTCGTATTATGTGTCAGACACTGTTCTACAAGCTTTATTTATTTAATTCTCATTAATTCCTTTGCAAGTTGGGTGTACTCACCCTGAGGCAGATGGTGTTAGTCCTCCCGGTTTTCAGTGGAAGACCCTGTCCTTACTGTGGTGTAAGCACCTCACATTTCCTTGAGCTGTGGGACAGGTGATCTTAGAATGCTGAGACTTTCCCAAAAACTATACTGCGAAATCTTAGCAAGGCAGCCGCTAAGGCACAGCTGGGAAAATCTAAGCTCAAGTATTTCAATCAATTCAAGTATTTCAGTCAAGTTCAAGTATTTCACCTGCATATCTGATCTAATTCTGTTTACTTTCTCTTCCTAGGCTATCCAAAAAGACAGTTGTGAATCCAATCATAATATCACATGTAAAGTTGGCTATCCTTTCCTAAGAAAAGGAGAAATGGTAAGCAGATTATAGAAAATACATGTGGCAATTGGATACAAAAAATAATATGCTCAAAGCCAAATATATAAATGTTTCTAATGGATGTGTTTAGATGGTTGCTGGTACTTGAAGTTTCTGTTTTAAAGAGATTTTAATAATGACCATTTCATAATTACAATGTTTATGATTGTGATCTGGTAGACAGTGGTAATATGAAAAAATAACAATGGGTGGGATATAATAATGTGATAGTGTTGGATCTGTATGTAACATTTTCTGGTGTGTTAAGATGTTTTCACATATATCTTCTCCTTTGCTCATGAAATTTGCATTATTAATTAATAAACTTAGGCAATTTTATTTTAAAAAGAAAAATATTTATATGATTTAATACTTTAATTAATGCAAAAATTCTACTTCCTTATCTGTTACTAAAGATATTTTTATTTTATAGGTAACATTCAAAATATTATTTCAGTTTAACACATCTTATCTCATGGAAAATGTGATCATTCATTTAAGTGCAACAAGGTTGGTCCCTGTATGTACATGAGTGTATGTGGATGCCTGCATATAATTTCTTTCATATATTTAAAATGTTCTGTAGACTGACTGGAACTTCTTACAGCTTTTATGTAATCAGTGGAAGTAGAAGGCAGTGAACCCCTTTGCTTCACAAAATCATCCTTATGAATAATTAGCAAAATAGAGAAATTTTCATTTAATAGAAATAATAAACCTAATTGGGTTAAAGCACTGGTCTGTGAGCCATAAAACATGTTGTAATCACATATCACTTATATCTGCCAAATTGCATTTAAATCCATTAAAAAGTTTATAGGCTTTGCTAATTTAAAAACTTTTACAGACTGCCCATCAAAGTCAACTGAATCATTAAAGAGACTTAAAATTTTATGATACCCTTTTGTAGTTTAATAAATTTTATTCAAGTCAGTCAAAGCTTCTGAAAGATGGTATAGACAATACACAAACTAAAAATAGCAAAAGTCTGATAAGGAAATTGAAATAGTACTTACCTTTTTTCTAAGAGTAACTATACACTGGACCATAAGCAACTTGAGGTAAACTTTTATCATTTGTTGTTTTATTCCCAGTTTAAAAAAAATCTAATAATTGAATAATTACTAAATAGATGTAAAGTTAATGAGTGAGAAAATGAATTGGTGGATGAGTTAATTCTGTATACTCAATTCAGTTCAATTTAGCAAATACTTATTTGAGCTCTACTATGGACAAAATAGCCCTTCCCTGGTAGGTCAGCTGGTAAAGAATTCGCCTGAAATGCAGCAGACCGCAGTTGGATTCCTGGGTCAGGAAGATCCCCTGAAAGAGGGATAGACGATTTACTCCAATATTCTTGGGCTTCCCTACTGGTTCAGATGGTAAAGAATCTGCCTACAATGTTGGAGACCTGGGTTCAGTCCCTAGGTTGGGAAGATCCCCTGGAGGAGGGCATGACAACCCACTCCAGTGTTCTTGTCCATGAGAGAATCCCATGGACAGAGGAGCCTGGTGGGCTACAGTCCATGGGGTCACAAAAAGTCAGACAGGAAACAGTTGGACAGGACTGAATGGCTAAACACAGCACACACAACACGTGGACAAGATACTGACTTCGTCACTTAAATAAGGGCATGAAGCTCCTCATGAAGTGAATATTACAGTAGGGGACTGAGACTGGTATTTAAATTAATTATCATACAGGATAGAACAAGGAAAATTTATTAAAGAAATAGAAGCCATGTGTGGAGACTTAATGGAGGGTGAAATTACATCTACCTGGCAATGAAAACCCAAGAAAGCTTCATCAAGAAGGACCTTAAAGAATGGGTAGCAATTCAGAGAGGTTGGTGGGTAGTTAGATGGAATGTTTCAAGTAAAAATGTACAGCTTGAGCAAAAATGTGAAGGTAAACCACTAGATCTATCTGGGGGAATATTGGGCAATCAATTTTAGTGCAAATATAGGAGAATACATAAAGGAATAATGGAAGATAAACAGGGAATGTACATCTTACCATGGATGGTGAGTATTGAATTTCGAAATGAGGCATCTTTTCTTAGTTGAACAGGCCATGAAATGTTTTTGAGGGGTGAAGTCATATGTACAGAGCTGTTTCTTTCAAAGATTAACTGGGCTGCAGTGTGGAATGGGTTAGAGTCAGGGGCCATTTACAGCAAAAGCCCAGTCACACATATATCTATAACCCAAGACAGGGAGCTGCCTTCACTGCCCCATCACTCATATCATGCTGCTAATATACTTGGGAATAAGCAGTTATTAAAGGGTACCCATTGCCCATTTTGTAAGACAAAATGCTAGGTGCTTGGTCACTTGGTAGAGGGGTATATATGATAATAATAATAAAAATTAATACTTACTGAGTATTCCCCATGTCCTTGGCACAATGTTAAGTATTTTACACTTATTGCTCACTTATTATTTATTAAGGATTTAGTCATAAAATTCCCATTTTATAGATGAAGAAACTGAGGCCTGAGGCACAGAGAGACTAAACAGCTGTCCCAAAGTAGGTCAATATCCAAGAATAATCTCAGGCTCACTGGCCCCAGAGCCAGTGTTGGTACCTGTTATAGCACTTGTCCATGCTTTTTTACTTAATACAGGAGAGTATGAGATATGTGTATGTACATATAAATGTATAACTATCTAGGCATGCATTTAAATAATATATAATTGAAATGATAACTAAAATCAGGGAGGAAAGTAGGTGTTCAACAAATAAGCACCACGTACAAGGCCTGTGCTGTGCTGTGCATAGTCACTCAGTCGTGTCTGACTCTTTGTGACCCCATGGACTGTAGCCTGCCAGGCTCCTCTGTCCAAGGGGATTCTCCAGGCCAGAATACTGGAGTGGGTTGCCATGCTCTTCTCCAGGGGATCTTCCCAACCCAGAGATCGAACCCAGGTCTCCCTCATGGCAAGAGGATTTTTTACTGTCGAGCTACTAGGGAAGCCCAAGTACAAGGCCTAGAAAGACTGTTAAGTGAGAAGGCAAATGTTTTAGATTTATCCTCAGCTGTGTACTCCTGAGCACATCTCTTCACAAGGACCTCATCTGTGATAAATAAGAATCACCTGTGTGATTTATATAAAAAACCACAACTTCATGAATCCTACTTTGGGCCTACTAAATCCATTTTGTTCTGGGAGAAAAGTCCAGTAATCTGTGTATTTAAACTTTGACCCAAGAATACTTATTATTCACATAGAAGTTTGCAAAACCTTGTCATTTTCAAAAATCAGTGTCATTTTCAACCCTTGCTGCACTTGAGAATCACCTTAGGGTCTTTTAACAATATCCATCTCTGATCTTCCTCTCCACACTGAATTTTCTTTTTAAATCAGTAAGTCTATTTTGTGTGTGTGTCTTTATTTAGTTACCAAAATATACTTCTCATTCAAATGCTTAGAAAAGTCTCTAAATAGCCAACGGTTTAATTATTTGTCTGACTGCTGTGTTTTCTAGTGACAGTGAAGAGCCGCCTGAAACCCTTTTTGATAATGAAGTGAACATTTCTATCCCTGTAAAGTATGAAGTTGGACTACAGTTTTCCAGGTAGGAGGACCCCACACTTCAGGTTGATGCCTTGCTGTAACCCAGTGGATCTCAGCTTGTGGTCCCTGAACATGGGTAGCAGAATCACCTGGGAGCTTCTTAGGGAGGCAGATTCTCTGACCTAACCCCAGACGTACTGAATAAGAAATTCTGGGGAGGAGGCCCAGAAATCTGTGTTAAACCCTCTGGATGATTCTCATGCACTCTAAAAATTGAGAACCAGCATCGTAAATAATCTGAAATGTGGGGTGCTACTGACACCAAATTGCATTAGCAGTCCAGTCTTAAGTCCTAAATGCAAGCTGAAGACCCAGAAATCATGAAAGGCAGTGTCCGTAGAGGTCACCAACATATTTCTTGGCTCTTATTCTCATTGTGTGGTATCTGATTATTCTTACCCATCCTGGAAATTCAAGATTAAATCATCATTTATTGACAAGAGGTATTTATTTTCTTCAGGGGCTTTCCTGGTGGTTCAGTGATAAAGAATCCATCTGTGGTGCAGATGTGGGTTAAATCCCTGGGTCATAAAGATTCCCTGGAGGAAGAAATGGCAACCCATTCCAGTACTCTTGCCTGGGAAATCCCATGGACAGAAGAGCTTGGTGGGCTGTCGTCCATGGGGTTGCAAATGAGTCAGACACAACTTAGCAACTTCTTGTTCTTGTTCAGTTGCTCAGTCACATCCGACTCTTTGCGACACCTTGGACTATAGCACGGCAGGCTTCTCTGTCCTTCACCATCTCCCAGGGTTTACTCAGACTTATGTCCACTGAGTCTGTGATGCCATCCCACCATCTCATCCTCTGTCATCCCCTTCTCCTCCTGCCTTCAGTCTTTCCCACCATCAGGATCCTTTCCAATGAGTCAGCTCTTCGCATCAGGTGGCCAAACTTAAAGACTAAACAGCAACAAAATTTATTTCCTCCATTATTCGTAAACCATCCTTTTTCGTAAGAATTTCTAAGCTATCCAAACACCAATTATGTTAGTAAACTTGCATGAGCAGGACTCCAGGCTTTTGCTAAATAAATATGAGCCATGTACAAAAAGTACAAAACTCTGTGTCATTTATTCTGACTCTTGTCATGTTATTAATATAAATTCTATGGCACTTTTGTTTTAGTAATAACAACCACAAAAATGAAAGGATTGTAGGATATACATGTAGATTTTGCATATATATCTTAACCTTTAATTCTATTCACTGTTTTCTATTTTTTTACTTTCATTTCTCTGGCACACTGACTTATCCCAAGAATTTTTCACTTATTTAAAACCAAATTTTGACAAACATGTATTTTTGGTCTTCTCTAAACTGAAGTATTGCTTTTAAATATGTTTATGTTACATGTCCTTCTACCAAGTTCATCCAAAGAACATGGAGTTTTATGAAAAAGATTGAAAGTTTTATGAAACTTTTATGAAAAAGATTTTAACAGTAAATACATGACTTTAAATTGTGAAAAGCTAACAAATTGTTAAAATCTATTTAAATTCAGCACTATTAAAAATACCAAGTTTTAGCCTGATTATTCACTAAATGTAGATGATATTAATAAATTCATGAAAACATTTCATGTCTTATCAATCAAACTTTTACTTTAAAAATTATACATATTTTAGTATTTTAAGCATTGGTAACTATTGAATTAAATTGTAATCTTTCTCACCCTCCTCAAAGATTTAACTTTAGATTTCAGGGTAAAAGAATTTGCGTTTGATTTGAAATCTCTTGAAGTACTTATTGCGGGGTTCCCGCAAGAAAGAAATAGAAAGAAATAGTGAGGTCAAGTGAAAGTTTCACTTTGTTTTGTTTTACTTTTTTCTTCCAATTAATTCTTTTAAGCTCTGCAAGTGAATACCATATTTCAATTGCGGCCAATGAGACTGTCCCTGAAGTTATTAATTCTACTGAGGACCTTGGAAATGAAATTGATATCTTCTACTTGGTAAGAAATTACCTCTAAATTAGTGTTGTGAAATAGGTGTTTGTAGGTTTAGAAGTTAAAGTATTAATAGACACATACGAATATCTTGGTTCAATCTATTCCAGCATATTTTTCTTTATAATTTCTTTAAATTACATGTATATAATTTATTTAAATTAAAATAAATTTATAATTTAAAATAGTTTTAACCTTTTATTTAGGGGTTCCCTGGTGGCTCAGATGGTAAAGAATCTGCCTGCAATGCAGGAGACCTGGCTTCGATCCATGGGTAGGGAAGATCCCCTGGAGATGGGAATGGCTACCCACTCCAGTACTCTTGCCTGGAGAAGCCCATGGACGGGGGAGCCTGGTGGGCTGCCGTCCACGGGATCTTATTTGTGTCTGGGCTGGGTCTTGGTGGCTGCACCGGCTTTCCTCTAGTTGGCGAAGAGTGGCGGCTACCCTCAGGTTCTTCTCATTGCCCTGGGTTGGCTCTTGCTGTGGAGCGCGTGGGCTCAGTAGCTGGATTCGCGGGCTCTAGAGCACCGGCTCTGTCGTTGTGGCACCCAGGCTTAGCTGCTCCACGCGTGTGGGATCGTCCCAGACCAGCGATCAAACCTGTATCTCCTGCAGTGGCAGGCAGATTCTTTACCAGTGAGTCACCAGGGAAGCCTTAAAATAATTTTATCTAAATTGATGATAATTATACTTTCAAGCAACTTAAAAGACCCAGAGCTCTAATCTCCTTATAAGACATAAATTAGTTAGAATGACTTCCTAGAGATAATAAGGAACCAAATAGACTCTACCTATAACCACATAGACTTTGCATTTTTTGTATAACAGATAAACACTTTTAAAAAAATAACATGACTATTTCAAAAATTGTCTTGGTAATAATTTCCTTTACTCAACAAATAAATTGGTAACTCATTCTGCTCCTTGCTACATTTCATACATGTTATATATACCACAACTTACGGTGTTCCTACTAATGCCTCCATAAATATTGTTTTATATTACAACCTTTATTTTTATTTTTGAACCCTTCATAACAAACTTTTCCTAACCATTATAGTAAGTAATTATGGAGTTGAGCCAGGCTGTCATTTTAGGTCATGCCTACTTACAGATACAGACTCAAGTTTTTGTTACTCAAGTAAAAAGCATCCAATTGAAATGATGGGTTTAAATCTGTATTCATAAAAATGAAATCACACAGCATTGTTAGAAGATGGTCTCAGTGTCTCTGGGAATTGGCAATGAAGAAAAAGGAATTCCTCTTACAAAGTCGAAATAAATGTATACTATCAAGAATATTTCATTGTTTTTATTTGTGCCCTTTGCTGAAATGCCTCAGATACTCTACTTCTGGAGTAAATTTTTGAAATATAGGCTACCAGTTTTTTCTAGGCCCATTTACTTTTCCTAGATTAGAGAATTCCACAAACAAGGAAGAAAGGGAAGAAGGAAGGAAGCAGGAAAGGCCGATTTTCTGTGCAGTACGATAAAATCCTCTACATTCATTTTGGGATTCAAAATATTACACAACTTAATTAATCAATTAAGAAGCAAAATCCTATGTAAGACAGAAAACTTGCCATTGAAGGAAGAAAAGGTTACGTTTCTTTTTCCCTTTTTCCCTGTAGATTAGAAAAAGTGGGCATTTTCCAATGCCAGAACTTAAACTGTCAATTTCATTTCCCAATGTGACATCGGATGGTTTTCCTGTACTATACCCAAGTGGATGGTCATCTTCCGAGGTAAGTCATGTGTGCCTCAGAGTTACACTTCTTCCATATTGCACACTTACCAGGAGGGATCATTCATGGTTGGCAATATCCATCATTCACAGATTCTTCACATTATTGTCCCATTTTTCCCTCTGATATCTCATCTGATAAAAGACATGTTTTTAATTCTTAGAATGTCAACTGCATACCTAGTAACCTTCAGGATCCTTTTGGTATCCACACTGGGAAGAAAATGGTGATATCCAAATCTGAAGATATCAAACGAGGCACCATTCTGGTAAATTCAAATTAGCAAGACAAGTGCTCATTTTACCTCATGCTTTCCAAGTGAATAAATTCAATATCAACCTAAAAATAACTATGATGTAGAATATTTTTAATATGCTATCTTTTATCAAATGGCATGAATACTAATCTATACCTCTGGGCATTTAAACAGGATTGCAGTGCATGTAAATTTGCCACCATCACATGTAATCTGATTCCGTCTGACACGAGCCAAGTGAATGTTTCACTTATCTTATGGAAACCAACTTTTATAAAAGTAAGTGATTGTGTAGTTCTCTGCAATAATTTGAATAATATAAACAAATATTCATCACTTAATAAAACAAAGCAGAGTGCTTCTTTAGAAAGAACCTAAGACTGAAAGCCTATACAAATGTGATCCAAGCCTCAGCTCCACTAAATCAACTATTTGGATGTCATTCTCCTTGTCTCTTGGGCTTCCCTTGTGTCTCAGCTGGTAAGGAATCCGCCTGCAGTGCGGGAGACCTGGGTTCAATCCCTGGGTTGGGAAGATCCCCTAGAGAAGGGAAAGGCTACCCACTCCAGTATTCTGGCCTGGAGAATTCCATGGACACTATAGTCCATGGGGTTGCAAATAAGTCAGACATGACTGAGCGACTTTCACTCACTCACTTCCTTGTCTGTTAGTAACTAAGTTATTTCCAAGGTCCCCTTTCATATATATGCTTTTTTTAAGTTTCTCTTATTCTTTCCTTTGCACTTTCCTTAATACCTTAGAACTCAGTTAAGACACAAAGAATCAGGGAAGGTGAGGGTGGGATGATTTGAGAGAATAGCATTGAAACATGTATATTACCATATGTGAAACAAATCACCAGTCCAGGTTTGATGCATGAAATGGGGCACTCAAAGTCGGTGCAGTGGGACAGCCCAGAGGGATGGGATGGGAGGGAGGTGGGAGGGGGGTTCGGGATGGCGGACACATGTACACCCATGGCTGATTCATATCAATGTATGGCAAAAACCAGCACAATATTGTAAAGTAATTAGCCTCCAATTAAAATAAATTAATTATTTTTTTAAAAAAGAAAGAGTCATAGAGAGACAATCCTTGACAGCATTAACAAAGATTAGAGCTAATGTATATCATAAATTTATTGCATTACTCTGTCTATCTATCTATTTTTGCGGACATTTTGACACCTAATAAAGTCAAATCCATCTGACAATTGGCTACTTTAAAACTTAATCCATTGTATTCTATATTATTTGTTTCCCTATTAGAAATATTTTGTTAATTATATGAAATTTCTATTTTTAGATTTGACCATATTAAGTTGCTATATTTAATAAATCATCAATTCTTGAATATTGGTAATTTCAAATTTAATTCTAAGCACATAAACCTCATTACCAGAGAGTAGCTATGCTATACCTAATTACATGAAAGGAGGGCAGGATTTGGAGTTCATTTTGCAAAGGAAAAATTTTAATAGAAACTGTGTTATTCAGAAAAGTTCTTCATTCTATAATAAGGATCTAAGTGAGAATCTGAGTGCAGAGAGGAAAGGTGGATACACAGTCGTCATTTCCTACCACGAATGCCATCTGGATGTTAAATGTTTCAATCTCAGAAAATTTTTAGTTTGAAAAACTGCTCTAAAACATGGCTAGCTCTCATTGTGACTAGCTCCATATGCTGAAAATAAATTGTTTGCTTTTCAGGCACATTTTTCCAGCTTAAATCTTACTGTAAGGGCAGAACTTCAGAGTGAAAATGCATCACTAGTTTTAAGTGCTGGCAATCAAAAAAGAGAGGTAAGTGCGACTCCAAGTTTTGAAAACATTATACATTTCACTCCATTTGTGACATAACGTTTTATATTTGCTTATAGTCCCTAAAGCAGTGACTAGCACTGCTCTCAATAAGTGACAGACACTTTCTGCTTCAAATTACACTTGATTAGCTTCAAGTGTGATTTCAGTCTCCTTTTTTGTGGGAAACTGGGAAAAACCATGATATTTACAATTAACATGCCATGTTTTACTTTATTACTTATAACCATCACAGTAAATTGATGTTTTTATTCTTACCTTGATAACATATGATGCATTTGTAATTTTCATCCTTAAAAACTACCATTACAAAATGCAGTTGACATTGAAGAACAGATTTGAAAAACTATGTCCAGAAAGTGACTTTACACGGTATAGGAATACTTGTAAATTTATTTTAAAATTTTTTTCATTTAGCCATTGGGAAATATGAAACAAAAATGAAGTAATATTCCCTGACACAAATTCATGCTGGAGTTCTTCTTAAAAATACAATGGTTTGCTTTTTTCTCTTTTGTCCTATTGTAAAATAAGGTCAAAACACCTGTTATACATGTGGGCAGTTGAGCATAATTTCCCCATTTATCATGAGAGCTTAAATATTTCATATGGACATCATGAGTCATAAAATTATACTTGAAACTACCAAACGTTGAGAAGTTTTCATTTTTCATTTCAAATTAGAGTGTGTTAGTCACTCAGTCATGTTTGACTCTCTGACACCATGGACTGTAGCCCACCAGGCTCCTCTGTCCATGGAATTCTCCAGGCAAGAGTACTGAAGTGTGTTGCCATTTCCTTCTCCATCAAATTAGTATCTATTTAAAATAATTACAATGTCAGTGACTTCTGATAAGTATGTACCTTTAAAGAATATATGCATCGAATATCTGGATATAATGTTTTCTTACTTTATAAACAGCACTTAGCTTGATACATGAAAAGTTGTTCCACATGTAGAGAAACTAAAATTTTACCAGTAAGGACCAAAAAAAAAAAAAAGTATACATTATATTGGAAAGGGTTTGGAAAAGAGTATATTTGATTACTAAATATATTTTGTTTAAATTTTATAATTAGCTTTATTTTCCCTATTTTAACATTTTCTTTAACATCCCTATTTTCCCTATATTTAACATTTTTAAATATGTTATTTAAATTTTCCCACAGAGCTGTTTTTTCTACATTTTATTCTAAAGAAAAATTATACTTAAACTGTTAAAATTACTAAAAATTATCATTTCATAGTTGTATGATCTTGGGAAAATCACTGATCACATCCAGATTTCCGTTTCTGTACCTCTAAGTTCAGGGAATTATTTTAGATGTGCTTAAAGTCTGTCTTCAAAGGTCTGATTCCACGTTATGTCTATATCCTTGCCAGCTCTGTCTTCCAGATGCATGAGCAGTGACCTACTCAGAGTCAAGTGAGGGATCTGGATCAGTATCCACTCTATGCAAATATCTTCCCTGTTAGTTTTTTTTTTACCTCTAATCTTCCCCTCCAGGTGAAGGAATGGAGATGTTCCCCATTAAAGGGAGATACATAACCTTGAGGTGTTATTGGTCATTGACAGCTACCCTAAATTAGTTTTTTTCACCCTCAGAAATATCAGGGCTAGGACACAGAGCAAACAAGTTTTCTTGAGAGTTAGGTGCCACACTGAGAGAGCTCGAGTAGCTGTAACACTAAAAGCTGTCTCCTTCAAGTTTACTTCAGGTGAGATCTAATTTATAGATGCTAAGAGACTGTCAACTGGACTAGACAGTGTGGTATAAAAAAAATGCATTGAGGAAATGCATGCACAAATTTGTTCATCCATACCCTTGAGATTTGTGAATCTTACTGTATGAAAATTATATCTCAATTTGTTAGCAAAAATAAAGTACATTATAATTAGAGTTAAAGTTAGAATTAGAAGACCCCTTCAGGTTTATATGTCAACAACCAGTGACAACCTTCCAGTCCAAACTTAGGCTATTATGATAATGCACTGAAGGCTATGAATAAACCTTTAAAACATACAATACTGCTCATTCTCCCTGAGTGAAATTCACCTCTACCCTTGAGAATTCTGATTCATAGCTAGTTTACTCTTTATGTATGGATTTCTGGAGGATAAGATTGTAAAATTGTTTTGGTAATAATGAATATGACATGATTAGACATTTAGAATAGATGAAGGGCCTTTTAAAATGAACTCATTATTTTCTCCGTGGTAGTAATGAGATTGAGTACACTCTTTGGTAGAAAATTATAGCCTACAAGAACTCAGTGTTCTGGAAGTTCTAAGAGGTGTTTATCAATGTTAACAATCTTGTTTAATCATTTTCAGCTTGCTATCCAAATATCCAAAGATGGACTACCAGGCAGAGTGCCACTATGGGTTATCCTGCTGAGTGCTTTTGCTGGATTATTGCTATTAATGTTGCTCATATTAGCGCTGTGGAAGGTAAGACTCAGAGTTCCTTAGACTTTTCTCCTTCAATTGTCAACAGCCTATTGGTGAAACAAATTGATTTATCCATGCTTTGGAATATAGTATTGTATAGCCATTAAAAACACTGAAATGATAACCAAGACAAAATTAAAAAGAAAAAATATATATCTCAAACACTGTGCGCAACTTGAACCCACTTTTGTACAAGAAAAAAATAGACATATCCAAAAATTATGGAAGATCTCTCTAGAGATTGGGATTATAGGGGAACTTCATTTGTCTATAACACTGGAAATTTTAAATTAAGTATGCATTACTTTTATAAGCAGAGAAGAATGAAAACTCCCTTTTATAGAAAAAAGAAAAGAATGCATTTCTATGTAAGTTTAAGAACATAGAAGCAACAGAATTATGGTTAAGATAAAGCCCTTATCCTAATCACATATCTTTATGTATCTTAAAAATTAAATGCTTCTTTAATATATAAAAATACCACATTTTATGCAATAATTGCATGCCTGAGTGTGAAATGAGAGATTTGTTCAATTAGTTGATGACACAGAAATCTTATACTTTCACACACTCCTGTTTCAAATCCTCCTGTAAAACTAACCTATCTTTTGTCTAGTCAATCTGTATATTTACATATCAACAGATGTTTATTTCCATATCAGTAGATGTTTTGCTTAAATTAAGATATGCAAAATCTTTCAATCTTTGTATCTTTTTCAAATTAAGCAGAAATGAAATGATACCTTTTAGGATAAATTTAATAGAGAATAATATCTCATAGTTGAATTTAATGTTTTTCTAATGAAATATCAAATTGGCATTTATTCTAGCATTTATCACCCTATATTTTATTGTTTTGTTCAAAAGCGAAATTATCAATATGTTAAAAATAGAGATTGTGGCTACATACTCATTTTTCTAATATCTGAGCAACAGAATTGTCTTTTAATCAAATAGTTTAAATAGCAAATTTCTCTCCCATCAAACTACCAACTGCTCCTATCCACTCTGACTTACAATGACTATCTTCGTCTTTTCGGGAGGTTATTCTCAGAGAAGATGAACACAGTTATGTTAAAGATGTATGTCAGGAGCATTTAGTTTATTAAATAGAACCCATAGCTTTTCTCCAGCAAAGTCTCCAGGACAGAATTCTCAGCCATCTCAGGCCTGCAGCTCTTCCTCCTGCTTCACAGGGTATCCACGCTCTGTCTGTAATACCTGGCTCTGCCACACTGTGGTACCCAAGGCCTGGCTTAGTGGTGTCAAGGGTGTGCTTGGAACGTAGAAAAGGGTTTCTTTGTTTGTAAGCACCTGTGATAGGACATTTTACTGTTGATTTCTTTCAGTATGGTCTTCTAAGCACAGCACTTGCTTATACAGTTTTAGCACACTGCTGCCAAGAGAAGGGGGAAGCCAGAGCTGATACTTGAGTAGTCTCTCTCGCTGCGTACCTCTCCTTAAAATTAACAAATAATTTTCAGCCCTGTTTTTTGGTCATCGGTTTGAAAAGAGCTGGAGAAGGAAATGGCAACCCATTCCAGTATTCTTGCCTGGAGAATTCCATAGAGAGAGGAGCCTGGTGGGCTATATAGTCCGTGGGGTCACAGAGTTGGACACGACTGAGCGACTAACACTGAAAAAAGCATAAGTGTAAAAGCAAACACACTCTTCCATCCAGGATATTATTTGATGATACATTCTGATGGCTTCTTGGGTCTTCTTTTTAAGCCCAAAGGTTTAGCGACCTTTGGACAGTCCTGACCTGTAGGTTTAGTTAATTCAGTCACAGCAGTGTGAGTGCCAGTAATCAGAATGGTATTTCCACAGTAGGGGGGAGGAAAACTAGCATTTATTGAGTGTTTACTGTGTACCAGGAAACATTTTCAGCTTTACATCAACCCTATGAGAAAGAGACTATTATGGACCTCATTTTGTAAGTAAAGAAGCTGAGGCATAGAAAAGTTAAATGTGTTTCCCAAAGTCACATGGTTTGTCAGTTTCAGAGCAGAGATCTGAATCTGGGCCATTTCACTTTTGTGTCAGCGCTATAACCCCCTAACTCTATGGTCTCCCTTGCTTCCATTCACTCTGTTTTCTTTACAATCTTTTCAACTTTTAACATATTTTATACTTGGGGACACTGAAGCAAACAGAAGTTAAGCCTGCTAAGAGTTCTCCTCTAGCAAAGGACTGGGCTGAAGCAATGCCTTTAATCCAGTGTAGTCCTCTGATGCACTCTGTGGGGCAGGCTCTTAGCTCTGGAGCTCCAGGAATTGGTTTTGCTCAAGAAGGTGATGAACTCCCTTAAACATATAAAAATATTTGGTATTGGAGTGATAGTCCCTGCTTGGACTCAACCTTTTAGCAGCTCTGTTATACTGGGAAGATTACTTGCCCTACTCTTGCCTGAACCTCCCTGAAGCATTTTGTCTGCAGGAAGCTCAGAAAAGCTACCCTCATCCCCAGGCATCCTTTTAGACTAATTTTAGACTAGTGGAGCAGAAACCTCAGGACTAGCCTTTCTTCATTCTTCTTCCAAACCCCACCAGTCTGGGAGTTCATCAAAACTCTCAGTTTGAGACTTTGTACAGGGAGCAGGCCAAAGATTTCTCCTGGAACTAGAATTCCATTTCAAGGCACAGTCTCTGTAGCTTTATCTTCATAGCATAGAAGAGATTAAGACTTGGCAAAATCTTAGTAGGTGCTTACTATACTTAATCTTGAGGGGAGAAGGCTTTAGAGGACACAGGTTTAAATAGATTGGGAAGTATGTCCTGAAATATGGTAACACATGCTGTTCAGTCATCATAACCAAAAGGATAGAATGAGATGGTCCACAAAGGAACCCTGAGAACAGATTGTTCCTGTCTTAACTTGATCTTATACTGATGTCTAAAGATCTACCCTTAATGATTTATTTACTAATCCTGTAACTTTGTTCCTCATCCAATATGCATATTGTAAGGGGAGTGTGAGTCGGGGATAGTACTGCTATCTAGTAGCCTTTTATATGTTAATATAAATGTTTTGGTGATGGACAGGGAAGCCTGGCATGCTTCAGTCTGTGGGGTTGCAAAGAGTTGGACGGGACTGAGCGACTGAACTGATAAATGTTTTCATTCAACACATATTCCATATTACAACCGTTGAGCATGTATTTCTGCCAGGGACTGTTTAATCAGACTTTTGCCACAGGGTTTTTAACTGGGTGGGGTGGGGGGGGGGGGGAAGGGACACAAATAAGATCATTAAGTAAATACAAAAAGAAAAAGAAAGAAAGTGAAAACTATAAAGTAAGTTTGGGTGCTGAAAACAGACTTAACTTGTTGCAAATGTTAACTAGAATTGGCCCTGTCCAATTTGAAGCTATGAACATATATTTTCCTAGTTTTCCCTCTAATCACCCAACTTGCACTGAAAAACCCAATGTTAATAGAATCAGTTGGGTAGAAAACTTTTGATAACAGGAGTTGAGTTTTAAAACTAAGCTTTTCATGTGTGAAAGCAAAGTGAGGTTGAAAAGAAGCAAAAAAAAAGAAAAAACTTGAGAGGGAAGAAGAAAAGATCAAGAACTGGGCAGGGCAGGAAAGAGAAAAGTCATGATTCACCACCTGCTTTTGTGAGAGCTTTGTCTGATCTATTTTCGACTCAGGACATGCAGGTACAAGTTAAAGGGCCTAATGGTTTGTGAATCCAGAATGCGTATATTTGGCTCAGAGAAAAAGGCCTGATACGTGTAGGAGACTTTGTATTCTAGGGAAGACACGTTTATTTTTCTTCATGTTCATTTCTTCTCTTGTCCCCTCTTTTGTGATGTCTACCACCAACTAAGTTCTGGAGTGGAGGAAGACATAAAGCCCTGAGTAAAACTTCTCTAATTTAAAACTGCATATTTTTCACCATGTATGCCCTTAGACGTCTCAATTGTTTAATAATAATTTTCTTTAAAACAATATAGGACTCCCTTGCATAATTTACCACAACTTCATGACTTAAAGGGACCTTCCCTGGTAGCTCAGTCGGAAAAGAATCTGCCTGCTCTACAGGAGACCCGGGTTTGATCCCTGGGTCAGGAAGATCCCCCGGAGAAGAAAATGGCAACCTATTCCAGTATCCTTGCCTGGAAAATCCCATGGACAGAGGAGCCTGGCAGGCTACAGTTCGCAGAGAGTCCAGCACAATTGAGCGACTAACACTTTCACTTTCTTTCACTATTAAAATGACATGAAAGTGCCATGTTTCCAAAGAATTAACTCACGGCCTTTGCTTGAACTATTATAACCCACTCTCAAATTTTTTAAAAGAATACTTCTCTAGGCCCCTATTTTAAAATTTTTTTAATACCCATGTTACATTAGAATATTGCAAAGGTTCCTTCCAGCTCCTATCCTCTTTTTTAATGTAACAACATAATGTGCACAGTCACGTCCGACGCTTTGCAGCCCCATGGACTGTAGCCTGCCAGGCTCTTCTGTCCATGGGATTTTCTAGGCAAGAATATTGGAGCGGGTTGCCATTTCCTTCTCCAGGAGATCTTCCCAATCTAAGGATCCAACCCTCCCATATCTCTAGCATCTTTTGCAATGGCAGGCAGATTCTTTATCCTTTTTTAAAAATTATTATTATTATTCTATATAGCTGGAAATAAAGCAGTTTTAATTTTTATCACAATGCATCATGCAAAGTGACCCACCTTCACCACCATGTGGAATTTTTCATATGTTCAATTACTTCATTTTCATATCCAAATGATACAGGGTGTTTTTAAGAGTCTCTTTATGTCAAGCCTATGTAGATGGATGTGTTAATACATTTAAAGTTAATCCAGGGCTTCCTTTATGGCTCAGTGGTAAAAAGTCTGCCTGCCAATGCTGGAGACATGGGTTCGATCCCTGGTCCAGGAAGAACTCACATGCTGTGGAGCAACTAAGTCCATGTGCCACAAATATTAAGCCCGTGCGACCCAGGAACCACAGCTGCTGAGGTCACGTGCAACAACTACTGGAGCCCACTCCGCAACGGGAGAGGGCACCACAACGAGAAGCAGAAGCACCACAACGAAGAGTAGCCCCCGCTCACCGCAACTTGAGAAAAGCCCGCGCAGCAATGAAGACCCAGCACAGCAGAGCCAAAAGTGAAAATATATCTTTTTAAAGTTAATCCAGACAACTCAGAAAGCTCCTCAACCTCCTAACCATAGTGTACCTACCAGATTCACCATCATCTCTAATGACCTCAATTTATGACCATTGATTGTTCAGTGGAAATTTCTCTGACACATGCTTGAAAAAGAAAGATGATGGCAAAGTAGAGACAATGCTGGATAACTACAGTTTGCATGTCTCCCAAAATATTTTTCCAGAACCCTTTAAGTTAGTTTGCTACATATATTAGTTTTGTTTTGTTTTTTTTAATCTGTTCTTCTGTATCATGTAATCTACTGGCGGGGGGGGGGGGGGGGGAGGGGGTTGTTTTCTTTTTTTTCAATTTTATTCATTTATTTTGGCTGCACTGGGTCTTCGTTGCAGTGCACAGGCTTCTTGTTCTGGTGGCTTCCCTTGTTGCAGAGCACAGGCTCCAGGCATGCAGGCTTCATCAGTTGTATCAGTAAAGCTCAGTAGTTGTGGCACAGTGGCTTAGTCGCCCTGAGGCACGTGGAATCCTCCCAGACCAGGGATCGAACTCAACTCCCCTGCATTGGCAGATAGAGTCGCAACCACTGGACCACCAGGGAAGTCCAATAACTGTCATTTCTGGACATTCAATATTACCTAATAGGTCAATTGAAAAGAATACCTCTCGATTATTTTATTTGTATGCCCACAATTGCCAACATTTTACTAAGCTAAATTTTATCTGAGATAAATGTTTATTACCTAAATTCAAATAACTAATTGTGTTATGTTTGGTATTTTCTCTAAGATCGGATTCTTCAAAAGACCACTAAAGAAGAAAATGGAGAAGTGAAATATTTGGAAGAGAAGAAGTAATTATTCAATAATCTATCCTCAGGTTTGCCTCAAATATGTGACAAGAAATTAATAAATACAATCAAAGACACAGTCACATAGCTTTATGTAATCCACCAGGGATTAGTCACTTAGAAAATAACAGATCAAGCAAGATCCAAAAACAGTACCGTAAAGATATATTTTATAAAATGTTGAAAAATATTTTAAAATAATTACTCATTTTTGTTGAGTAAGCAAAATTACAAAGTGTTTTGAAGATGAAAAATAACCTGTACAAATATGTTTATATATTAAATCACCAAAGTATTTAAGGAATACAGAAAAAGATTTTTATGATCATTGAAGCAGTTACTTTCAAAATAATATAAATTAAGCTTTTTCCATTGATTCCTGTTGGATATCCACATTCAGCATGATAGTCAACATTTGTGAATGCAAAGAAAGGAATTTTACCTGAAAAAGATCACTTCCCCTCATTTAAATGAGAAAATTTTTCCTACATACAGTATGGACAGAAAATAGAATCAAATCACAGAGAATACAGTCAGCATCTTTGTGTTGGGTTCTGTGCTTGGAAAATTTTCTTTCCAAAGTGTTTGTAAAATAGTACAATTGAGCTGAAATTTTATCTAGGAGAGAAAATCAAGAAAGACTTGTTGAAAAGCAAGTGCACTGAATGGATTAATTTAAGCTTTTATAGAACACACTTAATTTTGATATTGAACTCTGAAACTCAAAACTCTTTTATACTAAAAATAACAGCAGTTTTATGTGACATAGCACTGATTTGTGATGAAAAATCATGTGTGCAGTATATGCAAAAATGATTTCTGATAATGTTGATGGATGGTGCAGAAATGCTGGTCATCTTTGCTGGGCAGCTTTTAAACATGAAGGGTCCCAGGATGTAACCCAGAGTAAGAGTTGATTCAACTCTTTGGTACATGGTTCATTCAAACCCTCAAGCTGTGAGAGTATGTTTATTTTTAATCTTTGTAAAGGTATTTAATTTTCCAAACACAATTCTTTCTATGAAAAGGCAGTATTTTGTTTCAGTATTGCATTTTACCAACAAGCCACTGCTTTTTGAATGTGGAATATCAATATTTAAATATATCTCCAGAAATGCATTTTAAAGAATTTCAAGTTTGAAACCTCATACCAACAGAAAGACATCACACTTTTGTAAGAGCTTCTTTGTTCTTGAAGTAATCATTATGGTGCATCGGACTCTACTGTAGCATAAGTTCCTAGGTTGCTCCATCTCTTGGGGAAAAAAACAACAATGAATGAATGTATATGTAAACTACTGCTGTAAAATGTGCTGCTACTTGTGCAGCAACTCCATCTCTCTACCTGATTGACTGTCACAAGATCAGAATCCATCCTCATCTAGAAAATCCTGGGCTCTACTTTTCTCAAAAAGCAGCAAATCAATGGAAAATATTCAAATGCCATGGATTTCTTTTTTAAAAACTAATTTCCAGGGAATTGTCTGTGGACTCAGAGGCAGCCTACCTCATGGCTCTCTCCAGCTGCATCTAATATCCTGATGGTCAAAGACAGGCACCTGGGGAGTGCTGAGGACATCAGTGGCTAAAAGAAAGGCTGTCTTTCCAGAGATTTCATATCCTCTTGCTGGCCTGTCATTTGTTCAGAAATGTCCCGTTTTAGAATTTTCTTCATTCCCACCATCTGTCTCCAGGTTCCAAAATCATTCTTTCCACCTGTCCTTTGTCTGCTCAACAAAGCATCTATCATATTCGGAGTCATCATGGTGCACAGCCCACTTAGCAGCTCTGCTCCAAGCTCAGCACATTCTTAGAAATAAATCTGACAGATAAAATTTTTTTTAAATTCACACTTGTTCTCTGACTCCTAGATAAAGCATTCACTGAATCAGGAGTATGCAGATTTCAACTAAATATATTGTTAACCCAAAGGGGAAAAATAGAAAAGATGACATTTTGAACATATTAGAAAAGAGGGGAAGAGGTATTTGACCAGATCAAATAGCTTCTTATAAGCTCTACACAGTTTTCAACATAAGTCATTCATGGTTTTTAAGTAGACTATTAAATGAGCCAGATATCCTGTTTCCCTAATATTGTAATCTTTTGAGGTTTATGTGTGTATGTGTCTATGCATCTGTGCACGTAGGTGTATAAACATACATGCACGCACGCACACACACACACACGCATGCATGCATACCCAGACACAAATTGAAGAAAAAATACCTCAACACCAAGTGACAGTTTACAAGAAATAAACACACAAAAGCTACACCACAGGAGAAGTTTTGTTCATCCACTTTGCATATTCTTTTCACTTTCTTTAATATTTAACTTTAGCATATAGTTATGTAATACCTAGATATCATAAATGTAGAAGCTTTGGCTAAAATAATGTCAACAGTTGTCCCAAATTAACTTTGTACAGATATCCTAAAATATAGTCAATGATTAGGAAATATATAAAATGCTTTTATTTTAAAACATTTAATAAGAAAAGTGATACTTACAATAATGAACTTTTATTGGTTAAATTGGAAAAAAAACTTCCTTTTTTAACTTTGGTATTTTTAAAAATTAATTGTTGCTTTTGCTATAGACTGAACTATATAAGAAGTCCCTTTCCATACCAAGCCTATAGTAGTATTCTGGTAAATTATTTAACAGCTGACTTTCCAGGAGGAAAAAAAAAAATCCCTGATTTGTGTCATTAGCCAGTCTTCATGATCTAAATTGTTTTGTCATGGCCATTTTCAAGCTACTAACATAACCCTAACCAGCTTGTAGAATTCCTGAAAATATATATGTCAGCTCTCCTGTATCAGTATGAGCTGGCTTTAGCACACCATTGAAAGGGACTGCTCATATGCTAAGTCACTTAGTCATGTCTGACTCTTTGCAGCTCTATGGACTGTAGCCTGCCAGGCTCCTCTGTCCATGGGCTTCTCCAGGCAAGAATGCTGGAGTGGGTTGCCATTTCCTTCTCCAGGGGATCTTCCTGACCCAGATTAGATGACAATGATATAAATAGATGATAGATGGATATGATAGATAAATAAAAATATAGCATGTATATATATACATATACAAACATGCACAATACAATCAGATTTCAGATTATTCTTAAAATGCTACCCTCAAGCCCAGTAGACAAAGTGCTACACAGTTTCCTATTTTTCCATCTTAATTTCTAACATTGTAATCTTCCTTTAACATTAATAAAATGATACAAACTTGCTGGAAAAGGAAGGAGTTGAAAGTAAAAATATTAATTTTGAAGAAATTTAATGAAAATCAGACCTACACAGCTGCAAAGAAGCTGTTTCACTTTCTCTAGGAATCCAGAGCCCTGGAGCCATACCATGAAAGGTCATTCTCTGTAAATATTTGTGATTTCTATGATTCAGTTTGAACTTCAGTGATCCAATTTATTCAGTTATTTTCTCCAAGCCCTAGATTCTCGGGCAATTTAATCTTTGAATATTTTCTATGTCATAACTGGGTTTGAAATGAGGTTTGTGGGAGGACATACTTTTATAAAACTTGATGTTTATTCAACCATAGTAATTTATAATTTTACCTTTTATAAAACCAATACCTAGGCTTAATTGGGAAACAAATATTTGTACCACAGCAAGAGGCGGTTGCAGAATGCTTGAGTAAAGTTGGGTGGGAGGAGAGGCTGAGAGAAGAGCTGGTGCATTCTCTGCAGGCGGCCCCGGAAGGATCACAGTTTACAGCGTATGCCCGCCGGTGTTATGCACTGCGCTTTCCTACCGGATGTCCTCTCAGTCAAACATGTTGTAATCTGCTCCTTGTGAAAGAGCTGTCTTTTCTTCGCACAACATTGAGAAAACTAGGGAAGACTCAGGCTCAGAGCATGGCTCCTGTGTCCAGGACCGCCACAGTATTGTTCAAACAGAGAGGCTTCCGGGCAAATCAGCCTTTTAGAACTGGTATCCTGTGTATCCTTCGTTGATCTTCAACACTTCTGAAGTCTCCCTCTATTAGTCTTCTCCCCAAGGGACACTTTTGAGAAGACTCCTAGAGAAAAATCTGTTTAAAATGTGCGCTCTGTTTTCTGTGAATACCAGCTGCTTTGACTTGATCACTTACACAGGATGTCAGTTCTACCTTCTTCTGTAGCAATCTAAACGGTTGGTACAGTAAATGGAATAGGGGCAAGATGAAAGGCACTTCAGAGATGGAGCATCTTTAAGGCATTTACAAACCATTATTGGGACACTCTCAGCAGTGTGGGGCTGGCAGGATTTAGCCCTTCGGTGGGTCTCTATCAGCAACCCCTAACCCCCATCCTCATCCATGGAAATTACAATATAATCTAAAATCAAAAAGAGGAGCTTTAAAATCCTCAAAATGATGCTACTACTTTTTAATTAAAATATACAAGTTAACTGTAAACAGCAGGCATTTTAATGCAAATACAACTGTAAGGTGAATCCCCTGGGCAACAGGATTCTAATCAGCTTGCTTTCCCTGATCACTTCCTACCCAGAAATTCTGAAACCACCACTGGAAATGAACTCTGCAGTGCATTACAGAAGGCTGAAGGCTGCCATTTCTGAATGGAAGCACTGTTGTACAACATCTTAAGTACAACAGTAAAAAGAGAGTTAAAATCTAACATTGTAATCTGGTGAAATAGTCAGTATTTTTGATCCTCCTATTAAAGTTCAACCTTGAGTTTAGCAATTCCAAGCAACAGCCTTTGATCATCAACCTTGAGGAAAAGTAAAGGAGTGTGTGGAGGCTCTTCAGTCCTCAGCCCATTGTCTCCACAGCATGTGGTGCCCGGACATCCAGTTCTTAAACCTGAACTCCCAAATCCACTGCATCCCAGGATCAGCCCTCCCACAACAAATGTACACATAAGGACATGCTGAAGTTTTACCATTACAAAAAATATATCAATACAAGGATGGGTTATCACTTCTAATGTTGGGCTCTTTGCTTTGAGATC